GATTCAGTTATTAAAGGGTTTATGAATTTCAAATGATAGTTTAATTGATCTTGACTTATTGCTTAACTTAGACTAAGAAATTAATAATCAATTAGCATATATCTAGCCAAGAAAAATATTTACATAGGCTCAATAAAATAATGATTAATTTAGATTGATTCATAGTAATAATTGAGAGAATAAAAATCTTTTTTTGAGAAAGACATATTCTAAAATAAAATAAATAATTACTATTGATATAAATATGATTTAATTTATGAGTGCAAAAGCAAAAAATCCAAATAATTTGTTTAATAAAGGGATAAATGTGGTAAAATTATTTAATTAATTAATAAGAGTATATTTTCGATAATAAACTGATTTTCTTAAACCAGCCATTGAAGATGCTTGTGAACCTTCGAAAACAATATTATCTTAATTGATTTAATCATGATCATAAACATTTCCTAATATTTACACTGTTTTATTTTCTATATCAATAATATTTGATTCACTATAATTATATATTTTTACTTTTTCTTCATTTCCTAACTAAATTTTGAATTCTTGTGCTTCATTTAAAATTCTGACATCTGTTTTTCTTTGAGTTTGAATAACTAAATGTGAAGAGAGAGGATTCTATATAGAATATTCATAAGGATGATCAATTAATTCTTCATCATTAATTTACAAATCTTTAATAATTGGTATAACTGTGTCAACTGAACCTACAAGATTATTTCGTTTATTTTCTAATATTTTCTTAAATTTTATTATTTTATATGTTTTTCTTTTGACTATATCATAACTTACTTCATATTATTATAATTTCTAATTATTTTTTAATTATGCTATTTTTTATGCATTTGTTGAAAATTCTTGTTAGAAAAATGAATCTTTAGGAAAGTGAAATTAAAAAATATATTAATTTTATGTTCCATCTAAAATATCATTAGAAATAAATAAATCTGCTTACAAATTATAAAGAGATTTTTCTATTGATAATTAATCAATTATTTTAGGATTAAAATTTAATTACTTGAATAATTCTTTATTTATTCCTTAAATCTTATTTGTTTAATCAATCAATATTATTGGGTCAATTTTTTCCTAACTTATAAAAAAAGTAATAAACCGAAATGATTGATTATTATCAAAATAAAGATCAAAAAAAAATTCTATATTTTAAATGAACCCTGATTTAAGTTGACAAAAGCTCTAGCCTATTTATCGAAAATAATTAGCTTTCCCGTTTTAAAAAAATTGCTCTATATATGAATTATGAACTTCTAAAACAGTTGATGGAATTAAAGAATCAGGAGAATTAATTAACTCAAATTATTTTTATTAATAACCAAATATTATTGGAGTTTACTTAGAATAAGAAATAATTTTAAGTTTTCTATCATCATATGAGTATATCAAATAAGCCATTTTATTAGCTAATCTATTAAAATCAATTTCTGTTACAATATTTAATATTTAATTATCTATTGCATTTATTTATAATTAATCAAATGCTTTTTTCCAGTCATATTTTATTTCAGCATAAAAGAACATTAATTAAGATTAATTTCTTTAACTAGGAAATTGATCATAAATTGATTTCAGTATTCCTTCTTACTTTTCAACATTTTCCATCAAATTATAATATGAAAAAATAAAATCACTTTTGTTATATTATTTAACAATAAGCTATTATAAGAGCAATTTTTGTTGAATAATATTAATTAAACCCTCTTTGATACTTTAATTGAAGCTTTCAGATTATATAAATTGATTTATTTTTAAGGATAATTTTTTTTCTTCCTAATTATTTCCATCTAATTTAGCTGTCAAATTAATATATAAATTCTGTTTAATCATCATAATAAAGAATTTCCATTTGATTTTTTAGAAATAAGTTAGACTATTTAAGATTTATTTATTTTCTACTTAACTATATATTTCATAAACTTCTCCATGATATTATTAAGCTTATAGGAAATGAACTAAATAATAAAAACAATCTTTTGGATCTTGAGTTTAAAGCAATTTTTTCATTCTTTATCTTATTTGAGTATACAATTCATCTTAAACAATATCTGGTAATATAATCATTTTATGAGTATTGCTTGAACTTTAATCCTATTATCTGCATTTGCATTTTAGTTGTTGACACTCCTTAGAATGTTTGTACATCAAAATCGAATTTTTAATACAAATCTATTAAAATGTTAAATTTTAGCCGATTATTGATTTACATATTAAATTATTCATTTCAAAAAAATTTAATGTTTAAAGATTTGAAGTTTGAATTTCAAATTCCTATTTATTATGTACATATATGCAAATAAATATTACTAATGGTGACAATAATATTAGATACAATATTGGCTAAGGAATTCTAATCATTACACTTAATGCAATAATAGTACCACAAGAATTGATAATTAATTAGAGGAGTTTAAAATGTTTATTCAAATATTCTCTGTAAACAAAAATTGAAAAACAATCTAATAAAATTATTAATAGAAAAATTATCGATTAAATAAAAGTTGCTAAATTAGGAGAACTAAAACTAAAAATATATGGTTGTATCATTTTTAATAAAAATGTAAGGTAATCTTGGAATGTTACCTGTAATTTTTTGCATAATCCATCCTTTAAAATTAAAGCTCCTTCAAGCAATATAAAATAAAATAATGAAATAATGTGTATGATGGCTAAATATACAAGATCATTAATAATCCAAACATATATATTATTTTTTGCTGATAATTTTAAATTTTTTAAAGCAATTATTAAACAAGGTATTTAAAAAGCAACGTAAATGCTAATAAAGAAAAAAACCATCATTATATAAATTTGATTTAAAAAATTGTTTTTCTTTATACTTTTTTATATTGTATCTTTTTATCTATTATTAGAAATTAAAGCAAATCCAATACTTAAAACAAAAAACAAATTAAATGATAATTATGCATAATTTTAAATTGAAGGGTTGTTGGATATTTAATTTATTAGATTTATTAGTAATTGCAATAAGAAATAAAATCCATTCTCAACTAATTCAGAGTTTAAAGTTTTCTACTCATTATTTATATCGTCTGAATATGGGTATATTACTAATAATAATGAAAATAATTGACCCAGAGCATAAAATGCTGAGAATGTAGTGATTTTAGAATGACAGTCAAAATATCTAAGTTGAATGCATAACAATTCAAAAGATAAAGCAATCATTCTAATTTTAAAATAAATATTATTTAAACCACTAATAATATCAATAATGATTTATAATAACTACATTTTTACTCTGGTATCTATTTAAGAATTAGTATTTAGCTATAAAATTGATTTAAATCGCTGTACCACAATTGAAAATAATCCAAGAATTTGATGATCAAATTTTTGAATCAATATTTCAAAATGATGATAGCAGTGAATTTCTTTTTTTTAAAATTATATTTAAATGGTATATAATTCATTCAACAGTTAGGACTTCTAAAAAATTTTCTTAAATTGTATTTTTCATAAATATTTAATTAATTAATATATAAACCATTCAATGAAGAATAATTTTATTCTTGATTTTAAACCAATATATATGTATATAAATAAAGAATTATTAAGAAATGTTGTATCACGTTAAGATTTGGATGGATTAAATCATATGACTTAAATTTAGCAAAATTTTTTTTTTTATAGATTTAAAAATGAAAAAATTAATATTTTTTTAATTTTTCTGTTGAAATAAAATTACTAAAACAAATTTTAATTACTTAATACTTTCACATTTTTCGAAAACTACAAATTAGAAGAAATGTGAATTATTTTAATGTGTTTAGATAAAAAGTAATAATTATTTCATATCTATATTGTTCTAACTTTTTTGGTTAAAATATATCACATAAATTTTTTTATGAAACAAAATGATAAATTTATTATTTAAAATAAAGAAGTTTTAAAAGAAAAAAAATGTAATTATATAAATATATAAATAATGAGAATGTTATTTATATTAAAATATTGACACAGATCAAAAAATAATATAGTAAATAGTAATTTATTAAAGATGAAAGAAGGATATTTAAATAGAATGAAATAAATGAAATTAGATTTATATTAATATGTGTATATGAAATCTAAAAATAGGAATATTGATATAGAAATAAAGAGTTATTGGGATATCATATTTCTTCTGTAAATGGATCTTTAACTTATTCAAATGTATAGGGCATAAATTTATGTCCTCTAATTCTTAGATATTCATTTGCTACTCCTCCTATAAGACCCAATATTCCAACAATGGGCATGCATAGTTTTTCTTCAAAAATCAATTTACTTTCTAATTTATTAAAATTTCTAATATCCTTTAAATAAATATATTAAATACTTCAATATCCATAGCACTAAAGAATAATCCATAGATAAATCCAATAAGTGTACTAATGAAAAGAGTGCTTATAATTTGATTAGGTGTTTCAACAAGAGTTCTTTACCAGGCTTATTGAAAGAATCCAATAACAAAATTAATAGTATCAACTAAACCAAAGATCAAAGTAAAGTTAAGTGAAATACCCAAGATAATGTAAAGTGGGATTTTAGTATAATAACCCATGGTTTTATTCCTTGATTATATTTATAACAATAAATATTACCAATCTCTTTCAAGACAGAAACAAATGATTCCTGATGTAAGAACCATGATGCCAAAATATTATAAGAATTTTTTGTTTTTATGAAGTTGACTATTTTCAGGTAAATTGTTTACTCTCATAAGTAATAAGATTCCAATAATAATGAAACAAATTCCAAAATACTTGAAATAAAAGATTTAGTAATACAGCTGAAAAAACGATATTGATACTAATTTCAACAAGTACAGCATTTCCAATAGCAGATGCCATCATACATATGATTAAGCCTATAACACCTGAGATAGTTAGTTATATTAATTCAATGCTTTTGAATTATTTGAGATATTGATCCATATGAATATTAATGAATAAAAGATAAATAAAAATATTGAAAATAAGAAATGAAGAAAATAATAAGACCTTTGGTTGGTTTGATTAAGAGATAATTTTAATAAGGAGCATAACGTAATTAGATTAAAATAGATTATGATTAGCTGTACCATTTGTAGGAACCCAACCATTTATGATATCAAAACATAGAAACATAATGGCATTATATGATTTAGTGCCTGAAATAGGAAGTTAACATTTCGTAGCATCTACAGCCACAATAATAGGTGATGTAGAATTAGCATCATAATGTGTAGTTTGGTATGGTGCAATCTTAAGAGGAGATTTAAATGGAATAAGGTATGAATATATATATATCAATCAATCAATAGAATTCTCAATAGAGTTATAATAGGAGAAAGATCAGTCTTACATACAGCATCCTCTTTACCAAATGGTATGCCAGCAGTATTAAGTATTGGAAATAATGTAATGGTACAAAATGATTGCACTCTCTATTCTTGTACTATTGGAGAGAATTGTTTTATTGGATATAGATCAATAATACTCGAAGGAGCTAAATTAGAAGATGGAGCAGTCTTAGCACCAGGAACTGTTGTACCAGCAGGAAGACTTATTCCAAGTAATTAATTATGGGCAGGAAATCCAGCATAATATGTTAGAGATGTAGAAGAAGTATACATATTTAATCTTATTTTATATAGAAAGATTTGAATTAATTATCATATATTATTGGCAATTAATTTTCTATGGCTAGAGAACATGATTATGAATATTTACCATATAATAGTGCTTATCTACAAAAAGAAAACTCTCCAGAAGATTCTAATCCAGAATTAATTGCTACATTTAGATAATATGAAGATTGGGAAGAAGGATCAGTCAAATTATGATCAAAATTTAATAAAAATCATCAAAAACAAATATTAAAATTATTCATTATTTCATTTCCTTTTTTATCTCTTTTATTAATCTACTTCTCTTAATTTCCAATAAGGATTATTACCACTATTTTCATTTGTTCTTGAACTACATCTACTTTTTGGTTATGATAATCGATCTATTAAATTCTTTTATAAATCTTTTAATTAAGTTTATGTATTCTTATCTTCAAAATGTGGTCTCAATTTATAATTTAAATCATCTAATTAAAATCTTTATGAACAATTTATATCTGAACTATTAAAAGTATTTGAAATCATCTCACTTTTATTTTATATACTAAAATTCTATATCTATTATTATTATTATTATTATTCATCTAATATTAACATTATTTTCTTATATTCTAATTTTGAATTATTTAACCATTATTCTTCAGGATGAGTTACTATCCCTTTATTCTTAAATGTTCTTGAATCATAATAATTTCTACCATTCTTTGAAGAAACAGAAGATTATGGAACATTTTAAACAAAACTCATATTTTATCTAAAACCAACATTTCCTTTTGAATTAATCATTTATAAAGGTAATGATAGTGTATTATCAGAATGTTAATGAAGAGATTTATGTTTTAATGGAGCCTTATTAGGCAATCCTAAAGCTTAAGTTTAAATTATCTTTTTTATTGGTTTAAATAAATCTCTACTTGTTGAATTAATTTTGCTATCTAATTTAATTAATTAATTTTATGATTATTATTACGAAAATAATCCATTCATTTTTGGACTCTTCTTATATTCATAAGGTTAAGTAGATTTCATATTCTAATAAACATCCTTAGTATCATCAAATTCTAAACTATTCTATGAATGTAAAACCATAGGAATCAAAAACGTAGATTCCATACAAGATGGTCTCCTAGAACCTATATATTCATCATTGTTTTATTCAATAAAATTTGATGTAGATAGTTCAAACATTTTATCATCCTTATTTAATCCTTGAAACTAAGCAGTTCCAGGAGTCTCTAACTATTTTGAATTCTTTTTAGTTAATGCTTACCAATCACTTTCCAAAGACTCAAATGTTATACTATTTTATTGATCTATTCTTGATTGAGTCTAAGTACAATTCTATAATATAAATTAAAGAGCCTCTTCTTCTTTGCTTTCTCTTCTATTCTATCTTAATGGTTGACATCTATCTTCATTTGATATCAATTATCTAAATGATTCTTCAAATGTTTTTGATCTCCTTCTATTATTATATTATAATGCTCGATCTTCCATTTGTGATTTATAACTTTGATCTTAATCAATCTATATTCTTTTCTTTTCATATTCCTAACATGACTATTCACTAACCTTAACTTAACTACTCTACATTGTCGAATCCTAATGTCTCACCATATTCTTTAGAAGATCCAATAATTGAATATGAGATTCATCATTCTCTTAAACTATTTTTGTACTACTTCTCTTTCTATGTAATTTCTCTAAAGGATTTCTTACTATTGGAGTTTCCTAAAACATTTTCTTATTTTTATCATTTAACCATACTTGTTATAATCCATTTAACTACTTTTCTGAAGATTTTTAACATAACTTCAAATCTAAATTTATTTTCGATGTTGGTCTCAATTTATTTCGACTTTCTGCACTCAACAATTTTGGTGTGTTCTCATACTAATAAGGAATGTTTTCTTTATTTTAATTGAGCATTTTTTGATAATACTATGAAATGTTAGATTGAGATTCATTAGCCTCAAACTGCTGATTTCCCATTAATTTACTAGCAGTTAAAAAAATATAATAAATTCTTTTTTGTGTAATAATAATAAATAATAGAATTTTTGAATTAGATAAAAAGAGTGTGAATGTTGTGGATGCTACTTAATGGTAATAAATATTGACTAACAAAATGTTTAATTAAAATAAAATAATAATGGATTTTAATGTCTTTGCTTTAGATAGTTAAACAAGCTAGCAATTATGCTATAAGACAGTGAGGGACATGAAGAAGAAGAATCTCATAAGTACATTGTGGCAAATAGTAAACAAAATGTCTAGGAAAAAAGAGAAAAAGGATAAATGGATTAAAAAAAAGGAAAGTGAGTTTTCTAAAAACATAAATAGAGGTGCATTGTCATGTTTTGCAGAGCTGTGCACTGAATTAGCATGTAATAATTAGATAAAGTAATAAATTTTATACTAAAAATAGGGAAGTCAATCTTTCTAGATGTAATATAAATATTTACTATGCAATTGAGTTAGCAAATTTGGTTTAGAAGAATACAAACATCTAAGTATTAGATTTGGCTGGATGCAATCTTAAAACGTTTTCTTTGAGTTGTATATTTAAATCAGTACATTATACAATTTGAGTAGATGATAGATCATACCGGTTTAACTCGTTTAAATTTGTCAAACAACTAGGGTTTCACCTTTTCATCAGCATAGGATTTTTGTCAATATGTACTAAAAGGTAAAAACCCTTTAATTGAAATCAATTTGAGTTTTTGCAATCTAAACAATATTTAGTTGTCTCTCATCCTTCCTAATCTTAAATATTTGAAATCTCTAAAGTAAACATAATTAATTATTTAAGACGTTTTATTATTTCCATTGTCAAATTTACATCATCTGAAAGTATTCTAGCTTTAAGGAGTGCAATGCTCAATTACACTGGAAATAAATCACTTGATTATTTAGATTTATCTTGGAATCGCATTAAAAATGAAGGTTTAGAACTCTTAAGTTAGGCATTATTTATATCTGTTAGATAAATTAATATTAGATCACTTAATCTAGAATACAATTAATTAACTTAAGATTGTCTTGAATTCTTAGAAGCTATTCTACTAAAATTGAATATTGAAGAAATCAACTTATCCAAAAATAGATTCTCTGAATTTCAAAATTAAACATTATTAGAAAAAAAAATGACTAAAATTGATCTTTCATATAACAGATTTGAAGAAATTCCTAATAATTTCTTTCTTAATGTTCTTTCATTAAATCTATCAAATAATTTAATTAAGACCTAAGGAGCATATCAAATTTCATAAGTTGTAAGTTCTAAGAAAGTTATGTGGATGGAATTGAATTTAAATGATAATGAAATATCAACATAAGGATTTATATCAATCATTTATGCACTTAAAGAAAATTAATAATTAATTAGTTTATCAGTTGCCGATAACGAAATAACTGGGGAAGGAATATTGGTTTATATATTCAATCATGAATAATTAAATTTATAATACTTGGATCTATCTAAGAATTATCTAAGATATGATTTAGTTTATGCATTAATATCTATGATGAAGGAATGTCAATTAAAAACGTTGGTATTATCCAATTTAAGATAAGATGAAAATGATATACGTAGTAGAAGAGAAGAATTATTTGAAATAAAATGTTCTAATTTAAGAATGCTTGATCTTTCTGAAAATAGCTGTATGATATCTTCCCTACTCAATTCATTATCTTTACAATACAATCGAGTTGAATATTTAAATTTAAATGCCTGTTAGATAAGTAATAAAAAAGATTTAATTGAATCTTTATCTTCTTTTTTAAAAAGAACACTAAGTCTTTAAACTTTATTGTTAGCTAGAAACAATTTAGGCAATTTAGATGAAGATAGTTTTAAAAGTTTAAACAATGGTTTATCTTATAATTAATCACTAACACATTTAGATTTATCAAGTAATAAACTTAAATTAAAAATACTTGATCTTATTGAAGGTTTAACTAAATGTAGATATTTAAAGTTCTTAAATATTAGTAATAATCTAATTTATGAAACCAAAAGTCTCATTTAGAACTTTCCCTTAATATTTTAAAACCCAAATTTATAATCTATAGATATATCAAAGAATTAAATAGGAAGTCAAACTTTATTAAGTATAAGATAATATAATTATAATCGCCCCTTTCCTCAAATGAATTTATCAAAATAATAATTTACTGCTGATGATTTACATATAATTACATAAATAATAGCTGGATGTTAATCAATTAAAAAATTAGAATTATCAGATAATGGTTCTCTTGATTTTATGAACAATGTTATCACGTATGGTGAAAATGTAAAGGTAGAATCTTTATCAATAAATAAAATTTTATTTCGAGAAGATAGTTTCTCGAATTTATTATTAACAATCAAATAGAATATTAGACATATAAAATTTTTGGAAATATCAAATACTTTATTATTTTAAGAATAGCTTATAGAATTATTATCTTAAATAAGTGAGATAAAAAATCTTTCGGTGATAATATTAGATTATTAATCATTCAGAGATAAAGATGAAAAAGTACTTGAAGCATTATATTCTTGTTTACATTGTTTTCGTAATTTAAAACATTTTAGTGTTAAAAAATCTACATTAAGTATGCCATTTTATATATTTGTTTCTGAATTGTTAAGAAAATCAAATAAATTATAGGAATTAGATTTGAGTGGAAATGTTTTAAATTAAAATGATTTTCAGATTTTATGTGATGGATTATTTGCTAATACAAGTGTGACAAGTATATATATAATTAAGTAGATAGCATTGAATTTTCGAAATTGTAAATTAACAAACGAATCCTTTTTGTTATTAATGCCTTGTTTACATGCTCATTCATAGATAAAGAATCTAGATATATCTTAGAATGATATTACGATGACAATCTTATAAAAGATGGAATAATTATTAGGAGGAAATAAATGTTCATTATAGAAAATAAAAATATAAAATATTTAAACATATTGGGATGTTAATAGAATTCCTTATTCTACTAAATTTAGTAATCTGTTTTAAAATTTAAATAATATTGATATTTCTTAGAATAATAAATAAAATGAGAATTTTATGATGTTATTGGATGGGTTTATAAAAAATAGAATTTTATAAAATATTTAGATATTGAGTTTAAATAATTGCGAAATAAATCATAAATAATGCTAGATATTAGTAAATTTGATAGAAGGAAATTAAATAATTTAAGAGATTTCTTTAATAGATAATAAATTAGAATATAAAGGATTTAAGACAATATTTGATCCAATTTTAGGAAATACAAGTAGTTTATAGAAATTGAATGTATCTGGGTATGAAATAATAATTATAATATTAGTAATCAAATAAAGAATGAATATTTTAATGAGTTGACATCAGCCTAGATAGTTTATTTGAAACATTTTAGATTATTGATAATGGATAGAAATGATATTAGAGGATTTAGAGTTTCAGGTTTAATGACATTATTATAGAAGAATCCAAAATTATATATATATAATGAATGGTGTGAAATAACAGAAGGTTTAGCAAAATAGATAGTAGAATAGTATGTGATATTTATTAATGATTTTAATATGTCAAAAGGGATTCCAACTTATTTGACATCTTTAAAAATAGAGGATACAAAATTGAGTGATTAATTTTACATATGGTTCGGATCTCAATTTTTTAGATTGCAATATTTGGAATCAATCAATTTTAAAGGTAGTTCTCAATAGATGACAAGTTTAAGCAAGATGCATATGTATATAGATATAATAAATGAGAATTTTGTAAATTATAATTTGATAGAAGTATGTTTTGAATAAAATTAAGATAATGAGTAATAAGATTATAATAATTATTTAGACCAAATCATTTTGATGATGGATTGTTTAAATATTGGTTATAAAATTTAAAAGACTTTTTATAAAATAAGAATCGCATATCATTATAAAAGATGGGTGAGGAGAGAAACAGTAATGTAGTAAATGAAATAGAATAAGTACGTTGGGGTAAATTAGGTAAATGGATTGTTCATATAATTAATACAACTTTGAATTTAATATAAACATAAAATTATGAATTTAGATTTAGTAGTTCATTACATAGTTATACACGCAAATAATTAACAAGAATAAGAATAAGTCTAATTGCTAGTACTATTAATGAAATAATTAAAATCTCTTTAGGTATTGGTGCTATTTTAATGCCAGGATAATTAGAAGTAGCTATTTTAAAATGCTAAAATTAAACCAAATGTTTTGGAAGTGATATTAATTTAGCATTCTATGGAGAAACTATTATAATATTCTTTTTAGTATTATCACAATCATGTTACTGTCTTTGGTTTTCAATATAAATAAGATTACATGCTACTCCTGATTATTGTATTTAGACACCAGATAAATTAAGATATTAACATTTTAAATTTGCACATAAAGATGAAATTTGGTTATATCTATTATAATTAATAATTTCATTTAATTATTTATTAGAATGTAAAATAATGGGATCTATTTTTGAAATGATTTCATTAATTAATTCAAATTCAATTGATTTTGGTGATGTCAAATATAATCTAATTTTATTACTTAGTTTTATAGCATCCATTATTTTATTCAAAACTATTTTTTAATTGTATGTGACTATTAAAGCATTATTAATCTTCCTTTAAGCACCAATTGCTGATTAAGCTAAATTGTTTTAAGCTTGGTTTGTTAAAGTTTAAGCTGATCATTTACTTAATCTTGAAAATGTTCTTAAGAATTATTGTCCCTAAAGTGGAATATATATAAAAGGAAAGTTATGGAATTATAATTAACTATTTGAACCTATTCTAGGAATATTAGAATTATGTCTTCTTATTTGTATAGCAGTACTAACCTAATTTAGAAGACAATTCTTTCTTATACTACAATTTCAATAATTATATACTACTGTAGATATTTTAATTTTAATCTTTCTTACCAAAACATTTATTAAAATTACTAAACATTTCTATTGTGCTCTATTATCAAGACCTCCATAATTAAAAGTCTCTGATTTAAATGAAGCTCTATTAATTAGACGTTATTAAAAAATGGAAAATTCATTATAAATTGTCTAAAAATATCCTAAAATACCTATTAAAAAATTTAAGATCTCCTCTTCATAATCTATAGGTAAAAAAAGTAGTGCCGATTTCAAATTTGGAGGTTTAACTAAAACGAAAAGTGATCGAAGTATTATTATTTAAAGAGAAAACTTAAATGAAAATGATGATTCTGATTACATTCCTGAACCCATTTAGATGCCCATTGCACCCATTTAATATAAATCCATTAAAAACATATAATTCAAAAACACTTGATTAAATAAATTAATATATTTATGTAAAATATTGATAGTATCAGAATTAAATTTCTTAGAATACTCATTAAACATAGATTCGTTAAAAGATTACTTGGAAAATAAAAACTTAATGAGTAATCCTATTTCACTGTTAATTAAGGAGCTCTTGCCTGTTTCAGAGAATTATGTTAATCATTATCATGTAATAATCGCATCATGTACTAAATGTATCTACTTTAGTGAAGTCAATCTTTCTGGCTGCAATATTAATGTCTATTTTGCTATTGAGCTGGCAAAACTAGTATAGAAAAATACAAACATTGAGGTTTTGCAATTAGCCAGTTGCAAGCTCAATTCATTCTCACTAAGTTGCATCTTTAAGGCGGTATTAGTGTATTGATCAACTCTATAGATGATAGATCATACAGGATTGGCATAATTGAATTTATTCAATAATCAATCATTTACTCCAACTGTTGTACAAGACTTCATTAAGTATGTTCTTAAAGGCAAAAATCCTTTGATAGAAATCAATATTAGTCATTGCAATATTGAAAATGCTTAATTATCGATGATTTTACCAAATTTAAAAAACCTTAAGTCACTTAAAAGATTTAAAATGGGTTTAATGACTCTAAGTTCTGAATCATTGTTAGCACTTTCATCAGCGATGTTACATTATACAGGTAAGAAATTTTTAGATTATCTTGATCTATCATATTGTCAAATAAAAAATGATGGACTTAAATTACTTAATAAATCTCTTTATTTATCAGTAATAACATCTATAAATATAAAATCAATAAATTTATCAGGAAATCATATTAGTTAAGATGGTGTAGTACATTTAGAATAGATTCTTCACAAATTAAACATAGAAGAATTGAATTTATCAAGAAATAAAATCTAAGAATTTTAGTATCAAGATGTTCTTAAAAAGCAGCTTATTAAAGTTGATTTATCTAGTAATTTACTTGAAGAGATTCCTAATAATTTCTTTTTAAATGTTTTATCAATAAATCTATCAAATAATCAAATAAATACTCAAGGTGCTTATTAAATCTCTTAAGTACTTTCTTATAAAAAAGTCTAATGGATGGATCTAAATATAAATAATAATTGTATCAAGACTCGAGGATTCATTTCTCTAATTTATGCATTGATTGAAAACAAATCTTTAACAAATTTATCAGTTGCAAAAAATAAAATAAATGGAGAAGGAATTCTTGTTTACATTTTCAATCATGAACAATTAAACATATAATATTTAGACTTATCTCATAATTACTTAAGATATGATTTAGTTTATGCATTAATTTCAATGATGAAAGAATGTAAATTAAAGACATTAGTATTATCATAATTAAGATAAGATGAAAATGAAATTCCTAGTGGTAAGAATGAATCATTTGAGATTAAATGTGCTAATTTGAGAGAACTTGACTTTTCATGTAATCCTAAAATAATAATGCCTATTCTCGAAAGTCTTTCTAAATAATATAATCGATTAGAATACTTAAATCTCAACAATTGTTAATTGATGAAAAAATCTGATAGAGAAGTTATAATTAAGAAATCTGAAACTTAAACATTAGATAAAAAGTCAGGAGAAATTAATTTTAAGAAATCAGATACCTTTACAATAGATTTAAAAAAATCTGGTGATGCTAAATGTTTTATATTTGATGAACCAGCTTTTGTTGAATTAACAGAGAACAAAAATTTAGATCAAAATAAATAAGTCTTAGAATGCATCTATAATTTATTATCCAAAACTTATACATTATAAACACTTTGTTTAGCTAATAATAATTTAAATGTCTTAAATGATTAAGAATTAAAACAATTAGATAGTTATTTTGCAACTAATTTTACTTTAATGTCTCTTGATCTATCTAGTAATAAATTAAAATCAAAAATAACATTTTTAGTAAATGGATTAAAAAATTGTGTATCATTAAGATATTTGAATATTAGTAATAATCAAATTGAAGAAGATGAAGAGGTTATCAAAAGATTACCTGAAATTTTTAAAAATCCAAGTTTATAATATATAGATTTGTCATTAAATTCTATTCATAGTGCAACTTTTTAAAATATGAAAACAATTCTTTAAACATAATATAAATAATTTCCATAAATGAATTTAAGTTAATTAAAACTAACAGCAGATGATCTTGTTAGTATTAGTGAAATCATAAGTGAATCATATTCTATTAGAAAATTAGAATTGTTTGGAAATTAATCAATCGATTATTTAAATAATGTATTAGTATATGGAGATGATGATAAAGTTAAGTCTCTTTCAATTAATAGATTAAAATTAAGAGGAGACATATTTTAAAATTTATTAAGAATATTAGAATAAAATTTAAAATGGGTAAGAATCTTAGAAATTTCAAATACATTATTAAAAAATAAATAATTATATTGTCTTTTAGAAAGATTAAAATAAATGCATTCATTAAAAGCATTAATAATGGACAATTAATATTTTGAAAGTGAAAATGTGGTTACAACTTTAAAAACAGATTTATATAATTCATTAATGAAGTTGAAAACTTTATCAATACGAAAATCAACTCTTTCTGTTGAATTTTTTGAATTTATTTTTAAACTATTATCAAATTCAAAGAAATTGTAAGAATTAGATCTAAGTGGTAATCAAAGTAATGATTATGGACGTAAATGCATAATCTCGAAAGAATGTATTGAATTGTTATCATTAGGACTTTAACATAATTAGAAACTAAAAAATCTTAATTTATCTAAATGTTAATTAAATGATGAAGTAATGTAGATATTCTTAGATACATTACCATTAAATAACTCATTACTTTAATTAGATATAAGCGAATGTAATTTAACTAAGATTAGTTTTTTAAGATTTAAATAAAACTTTAATCAGATTCCATCATTATTATAAAAATTATGTTGTTAATTAATGATTGAAGAGATTCCAACCAATCTTGTAAATAGTTAATGTCTTTCGAATTTATTCTATCTTGATATATCTAAAAATAAGTAAAAAAATAGAAGTATTGTTAAATTAGTTTAATGTTGTTAACCAAATAATATCTTTTAGAATCTTTTTTTCCTTAATTTAGAATAATGTCATTTAAATGATCATCATTGTAAGACTTTAAGCAAATTAATTGTAACAAATTTAAAGGAATTGGATTTAAGTTAAAATTAAATAGCATATTATGGATTTAAAGAATTGTTTGATCCAATTTTAGAAGGTAAATCAAATCTTAAAGCATTAAATTTATCTAAAAATAAAATAACTGATGAATATTTTTGTTAATTAGAATAAAAAGAGTTTCAAATGAAGACTAATTATTTAGAATTACTATCTCTTGATGGTAATTTATGTCTTGGTCGAGGTTGTAAAGGATTCATAAAATTATTATAAAATAATCCAAAACTTTATATTTTTAATCATTGGGTAAACATAAGTGATTAATTAGCTTATTTAGTCATATAATCATATATTCAGTTTACTCAACATTATAATCTTAAATGTGGTTAACATAATTACATATAATAATTGATAATAAAAGAGACAGATTTTTCAGATGACTTTCTAATGTGGTTTGGCTACAATTATTTCTAATTACCTCATCTATAATATATCGATTTTTCTAGTAATTCAAGATTTTGTACAAGTATGGGAAAGATGCATATGTATATAAACATGATTAACAATTAAGTTAATTATAATTTACTTTAAGTGAAATTTGATGAGGTAGAACAATAAACATTAACTATGTTTGATGATGGATTAATTAGATATCATCTATTAAAATAAAAATTTAGATTTTAAAATTATACAATTATGTAAAGTAGTTATGGAATCAATGATCAAAACATTGAAACTATTAAATGGGGTTTTATTGGCAAATTCATAATACATATAATAAATAAGCTACTCTATCTATTTTAAGGATCATTAACTGAATTTAGAATGAGTAGCTAATTATAGAAACATCTTAGAAGAAAAATGAATAGGATGAAAATGTAATATATTATGGGTAGCTTAATTGAACCAGTTATTTTCATTTTAGCTTTGATTGTTGCTTTAATGTTATCAACTCCATTATCATAGAAGGATTTGTAAGATCATAATAATTGTAGAAATCAATATTGTTTTATTAATGATGTTTAAATAATTGCTTTTACTTTTTATATTATAAACATTCTAGTCATTGTGATGTTTAGTGTAAATAATTTAATAATAGCAATCAAACTAAGAATTAATTCAGAACCTGACTTTTATATTTTAACATATGAATAAAAAAAAGAACTAAAAAAGAAATTTCCAGTAAAAAAAGAATTACTTTTATTAGTACTTTAAATTATTCTATAATGCAAATATATATTTGACAGTTTGATAATTTCATCAAGTTATCATATGTCATATTACATAGATCAATATGGAGATGAAACCTTTAAATAACTTAAAAATAACTTTTTAGCTACTGCATATATGATGTCCATAATGATTGGCATTAAATTTTGTATTTTTTGTTATTAAGATTTCAAATGTACAATCCAATTCTTTCAACATCCCAATAAAGATGCATCATTTCTCTTATCAAATCTTTGGATTAAAAATATCTATGATACAAATATTATTGTTGAGAATGTAATTAGCAATTTCTGTCCTCAAGAAGGCATTAAGATAATGAATAGTCTTTTCAATTTAAAATAGATTTATCAACTCACTTAATTATTTATTATTGAATTACCCATATTCTTTATATATCTATTCTACTTTAATAATTATCAACTTATGTTTTCAAAAATGGGATATCAAACAGTTATTACAGTCACTATAATATTTTAAGTGGTTGGAATGATACGTAATATTATTAAAGGACTTTTTAATGCATATTGTGCACTTGTATCAAGACCACCTATTGTAAAATGGTTTGATATTAATGAATTTCTATTATTAAGAAGATATCAATACTTAGGAGAAAAACGATTAATATCTTAATATTAATCTACATATAATAAAAAGTATACCAATAAAAATCGTGATAAAAAAAAGTAAACCATCAATTCGTCAGTATCATTAAAATTAGGATCCTAAAAATCTAAAAATTTTATTGAAAAAGTAAGAACATCCAGATTACCAAGTGAAGAACATGAAGATGAAGGTAAAAAACTATATTCTATATAGTAGATATGTTTGTCAAAAAAACACAAATAACAACAGATAATATGTATTAAGGAATAATTAATACAAAAAAAAAATCAGACTGATTACTATATTCATCATATATAAGACTTTTAATAAATTATCTCTCTTATATTTATTTATATTAGTTAGTTTGATATAATATATATAATTTTGATAATTTTACTAAATTTTAATATTTTTGATTATTTTTTGCAGTAGATGAATGCAAAGATTGCCTTAAGAGTGATTTTAAATTATTTAGAGGAAAAAATAAAGATTATAAGAATATCTTTATTATGTTATGGAAGAAAAGATATTTGAAAAAACTTTTTGAAAATTTAAATGATTAATTATTATAAATAATAAGATTATTGACCTATTCTAATATAATAAATTTATTCTCTTATTAAAAAAATAGTTAGGTAATTTTCAATAGTTAGATTTCATGGTGGATTTCCTTTTATAAATTATATCTACTATGATTTCGATACCTCAAGGAGTTATAGATTATAATTTTTGCTCTGTGAAATATGATATAATAGAATAAATGTGAAACAAAAGATATAATTAATGTATACCGATATATTATTAGAAGATTGTAAATAAGTGATAAATCATAACAATGTATAAAGTTATTTCTGTTTGTTTTTTTTAATTTTGATGTGTAAAAATGAATGAATTGAAATTGAAAAGTATTTGATTATTTTATTTAGTATAACGAATATTATATACTATCTTAATTAATAATAAAACAAACTTAAGATGCCCATTTGGAATCCATTTATCAGAGAGTATTTATTAAACTTTAAGTTTAAGGTTAGGTTTGAATTGATATTGACATAAGCAGTCTAATAAAATTTAGATTTAATTATAATATTGCTATTGAATTCAAAAAAAAAATGAAATATTTATGAAAACTTATTATATAGAAATTATATGAATGGCATATTATGGAAATTGATAATTTAAAGTTATGATAATTAAATTATAATTATGTATTAAAATTATATAATCATAACAATTCATTATCTGAAGTTTATGAATTCTCTTTTTATTGATCATCCTATTTATTATCTGCTTAATTAATTTATGATTCTTCTTCTGGAATTTCAATTTCCTCTTTATTAACTTAATCTACAATTTATTCTTCTTCTACTTTATTTTCATTATTGATATGATTTTCTTTAATTTCTTTTTATTTTCCTGATGATCTGATTCTAACAACTTAAATTGGTCTTTTAAAAAGTGAACGAATATCTCCATTCTTTTACATTTAATTACTACTAGTTTTAGCTGTTAATCTTTCAGTCATAGGTTCTAAATATATAGAACTATTTTCTGTTATCATTTTTCCATTTTATACTTTCATAGATACTTCAGAATAATTTCTTTACATTTTCTTTGATTTTGTAGATTCTAACAATTCTTAAAATAAATTTTCAAGTCTTAATTTAGAATCCAGTAAAGCTTGATTTTCCATATCTAATTTTTTTAATCTTCCTTTAAAATATCCTGCAGATTCCATTGTTGATTTAAGTGAACTTTAAGCAGCCTTATGAGATTCTTTCAATAATTCTAATTCTGTCTATAATTCTTGAACCTGCTTTTTCAATTAATCAATTTCATTCAATCTTCCTTTTTTATTCTATTAAGCAATCAAAAAATCTAATTATTGTTTCAATTCAGATTTATCTCTTAATAACATTCTTACTTATTCCTTTGCTTTACTATAATCTCCCTCTAACATTATTATCTATTCTTTGAACTATTAATTTTATTTCATCAAGGCTTTTACCTATAGAAAAGAACACTCTATACTTCTTAATCTAATTTTCTCAATTTTTCAAACTATTCTACTAATTTTCTATCCTTCTCAATTTATTTATTAGAACTATCCTTATAAAGAATCTCTATTTCTCTTTGCTTACTCAATAATTCTTTATTTTAATCATTTACTAATTGTAACTATTCTAAAATAGTTGCATTTTCTCTATTTAATATTTTTATATGCATACTTTTCCATTTAAAATATTCTATTCTCTTATTCTCTTCTTACATTTTAAATTTAAGCATCTTTATCTTAAAGTTGCTTCTCATAATTTTATTTTATATCTTTTAATTTTTCTTAAAGAGACATATTACTCTATTATAAATTAACTACTTTTGTATGTTCATCATTCATCTTATTCTATAATTCTTATAACTATTTATCTTTATCAGAAACTTATTTAACATAACAATTTATTTGCTAATCTAAAAATTACATTTCTTGTATTTATTTTCCATTAACCTTTTTTAAACTATCATTTTCACATTATAATTAATCCTTTTATCTTTTTACTTGTTCAACTTCTTCTTCGTTAATTTTAACCTTACTTTCCATTTATTATTCTAATCTTGATAAATTTCTTAATTATTCCTCGTGCATTTTTTCCCTTTACACAATCTCATCTTAATATTTATGAATTTATTGTCTCAATATTTCTAATTCTTAATTATGTTTATTTTTTAAATCTTATAAATCGTTCTATATCTATTTCTTATCCTCTTCTAAATCTTTTACTTAATTTATCAGTTTATCCTTCTCTAATTTAAGTAAATTTTCAGTATAAATCAACTTCTCATTGATTTATTTTAAATCATTTCGATCTAACTACAAATCTTTTATAGTTTATTCTAATCCAGAAGTATTACCAACTTTATTCTAATTATTGGCTAACTATTAATTAGCTACATCCAATTCTGCCTTTATAGATGCAAGCTCATCTTGATGCTACTTGAGTAATTACTTAATCATATAGATGTAACTTATACCTTAAATTCTCTTTCCTTTGTTTTCCATTCCACTACATCACTTTGATTTTTTTCAACAAGTTTTAGATTTTATGTCTCAAGCATTTTGATCTTCTCCTATAATTCTAAAACCTAGAATAAATTAAAAGTTGATCAAATACATCAGCATTCTAATTGATTCGTGTCTCAAGTGCAGCAACTTTTGATTCAAGTTGTAAAACTTAAGTTTATCTACTTTCTAGTTCTGATTCTAGAGATTTGATTTTGATATCTTTATCAGTCATTAAATTTATTAATATGGGAATAGACATTGTTCACTTCTACAGTAGCTATGGTAGTTAACATAACAATATTATGTAAATATATTAAAATGATCACAATTCCGAAAAAAAGCCATCCATTTACTTTCTCTTTAACTGATGAAGCTTTCAGCTATTTAAATTACAAACAATTGCTCTTTCACTATTGATAGAGTATTTTAAAATCGATTTTAGTTTAATTATTCTAATTGCTCTTGCCTTAATATGAATGGAGACTTTTTTAGAGGAATAAGATTTGATAATTAATATGATACACTAAAGATTCTTGCATCTTCAATTTATATTACAATCACAGCATACCTATATTGTAATTTCACCTATACTGATGATCATCTATGGAATCAATATTTATGTATTGCCACAACCTTTCGAATTACTAGCTGAATTTTGTAATTAACTGGACATGGACAAAGCAAAAATATTTATAATTTTCTTAAAAAGAGCCCCAACCTTTTCAAATAATATTTTACAAATATTTGTTGCTCCTCAATATGTATTTTTAGAAATATAATCTTTTCAGGTTATAAATCATAAATTAATAAGGATGATAAAACTTAGTATGAAAAGAATATCAAATAATTCAGGAGTTTAAAGAAACTATAATGATATAATATTAAAAAATTAATAATAATCTATGATTGGCAAAGAACAAGTCGATGTTATTGATTAATATGCATAATCAATTGTTAATTATGTTGACAATTAACAAAAAAGTATGTACATGTTCCTATTTATTAAAAGTTATTTAATTGAAAACATCTACAATCTAAAAATTGAATGAGGTGACAATTGTGCATTACTAAAAAAACTTAGATAAAATAAATTAAATTCGATCAGAGTTTGAAGAAACTAAAAGCATTTGTAAGTTATTCAATCTTTTATCAAGATTGTAGAAAATAAATTAGATGAAAATATTTAGAAAATCAATTAAATTTAGAATTCTATTGAAGGTATGGAATCATCTGTAGATCATTTGGATTCTATTTTAAAAAGGATTGAAACTAAATTGACAGAATTAGAAAAATTGAAACAATGATATCTGATTGAGTTGATTTTAAAAATCAAATATTATTTAATATGTAAAGTGAGTTTTAGGAAGAAGTAGTTAAATCAGAATATGTTTAAGCAGAGGAACAATCGTTGAAGTTCTAAAACATGGTTAGTTATAATCCAGAACAACTAGTAGAAGATCGTCTTAGAGAATCTATTCGATAATCAGCTGCTTAAAGACCAGCTAATCATTAAGATGACCCAACTTCAGTTAAATTTCATAGACATCAATCATATAACCAATTATAAGCTTGGATGGAATAGGTTGGAATTGATATGTAGCAACACAGATAAATTATTAAGGATGTATATCGTATTTTAGATAAACGAATTGCAATTTCAAATAGAAGCATTCAAAATCTAATTCATTTTATCAAGACTTTTGTGTAACATGAAAAATAAAATGTAGAATATTTGAGAACTAAAAATAAAGATATATCTAAACTATTTTAAGATGGTTCAACAACGTATTATCCTAAATTAGATGAAACAATTAAAGAAATTTGTAATTATGATCAAGGTAATGCAATAAAAATATTAAATCTACTTGATGGAATTGATAAATTCATTAAAGAGAAATTGGATTTCAATATTGATATGTTTGAATCTGGAATTTCAATCCATAGAGATCAATATAGAAAAGCCTTCAGTAATTTTGCATCAAGTTCATCCAAACTTACTAAATATCGTAGGAAACATCAAGGCTTATATATTAAGTAAATGTAAGGGGAAAATAAAGGTAAAGATCTTTATCATACTGAACGTAAATTGATTAATTCTTTCCTTGAAATGGCCAAATTATAAAAAAATATGGGATAAGCTGTTACTAGATTATTTGATGAAGTAAAAAAATAAGAAGTCCATAGATATCAAATAGTTATAACTTCTTTAAGAATGTATCTTGATAAACATGTCTAATTGAGTTAAAGCAAATAATAATAGATTTCAGCCTAAGAAGAACTTATTTATGGAGTAAATTTTTCATTTTTACATACTCTAGCTCATAAATCAATTAGAAAATGATTAAGTAGTTTAATCATTTGAAGTACTCAGTTTCTTAGGCCAAGATATTGTGAGAATTATTTAGAAAATGCTAGGCAAATAATAATTGACACTTTAACAATTTTAGGATTTTCTTTGTAATTATCCTGATGCATATATTAAATTGGGAAGTGTCTAAGAAAATCATTCTTTAGTTAAATTAAAAATCAAAAATGCATAAATAGATTGTGGTAATGTTTTGAAGACATGGAAACCCTGCTAAATTATAGCTACAATTGATAATAATATTCTTATCTATCTTAAAGAAAACAATGAATTTAAAGGAAAGTTTCTATGTGATTCTTCCCAAATTGTTTAAAAGACTAGAATGCCTTTAACTGCAGAAATTAAATGTACTAAACCCGGATTTATATTTGATTCTACAAAAACAGCTCTCTTATAATTAGAAGCTTAAGATTTTGATTCTCTTCATGGATTGTTATTTAAAGAGCTTAAATGATTTTATTTTTATCTATATTGAATGCACTCTATCAAATTAAACATTTATGACCAAATTATTTATAGAATATTAAAAAAAACAAATTTCTTTTCATTACAATTCAGTTATGTAACAAAATCACCTAAATTACAATAAATACAATTTCTAACACACCAATTGATTGTTTATCATCTTGATCACATACAGATGTCTTAAGTTACGAAACATAAACATAATTTTATCTGTTTAAACATTAAAAATTTTATTTTTAAGATATAGTTATTCAGATCAATAATCAAAGGATTCTCTCGATTTTAATTATTATAGAATAATAGTGGATATCTTATTTATTATTATTGATATCATCTTCACAATCTCTATAATAAAAACTATTTGGATAAAGTAGGATACCTCTAGATTCAAAAAAAATTATAAGGGAAATATTTGTTAAGAAGTGAAATCATATCTTTGGAAACAATATATACTGAATAATTTGAATTATTGTTGATGAAAGTTTTATTTTAAAATAAAGAAAGTATTCTTAAGAAAGTATTCTTATCTCTTACTATGAGAGAAATCTACATAATTTATAGATTGAGTCCATAGTTTGCGTACTCTTCTTTTTTTAATCTATTAAAAATTCCTTCAGTATTTTAAAAATCCAAAGTTCAAATATCCATCAGTCTATGATAGACAAAAACTAAATCCATTCTAATAAAAAGTATTATAATGAGTTTAAAAAGGAGCTCGAGAAAGGAAACTAATTTTATCTGAGTCATTTTGATTATAATTATTGATCAGAGTAAATGATTGTTTAAGAGTTGTATCGTTTGGATTGTATATCATAGAGTTAAAAAATTTCTTTTTTCTAATTTGATTATTGTTCTTTATCCATTTTAATAGATTTAATTCAGTCTGAATCTATCATTTGATGATTATCTTTGTTAGAATTCAGACAAAATTTCATCTAATTTTATTTAAACTTATAGAACTTAGTTTAAAGCCAAATAAGGCTTTTCATTTATATAGGAGACTGGTTACAAGTAAGAGAGAAAATATAGAATTAGAGAAATAAAAACACTTATAAATTAAATTAAAAATAAGAAATGTAAATTCCTACTATAAATTAATTAGATTTAAGTGTTGATTAATAGCATATAAATTAAAGTTAGCCTGAGAGTAATAAAAATTTAAGAGTAAAAAATAGTAATGTGAGCATAGGTTCAATTTTATTTAAGTAATTCAATATTTGCAGCATCACATTTCCATTGTCAATAATACTTCTGTTGTACTTCTGGATTTTGTTCATCTATCAATAAGTGAATGAAAAATTATTAAGTTGTGTTCTATACGATTGTGGAGCTAAGTTTAGGCCAGACATTAAACACAGAAGTTAATTTTATAGAATGCTGATTTCAATTCCTCAATTTGGAGGAATAACACATATTATTATAGGCTTCATTACAATTTAAATGTACGGATATATATCTGAATTAAAATATGGGAAATTGAAGTATAGTTTAATTCTCTTTTTGTCAGGCTACTCAAGCAATTTATTGAGCTCTTTAATTTATCCTTATAATTTAACTGTAGGAAGTTATGGGATTATTTATGGAGTAATTATACTTTATGGATTTATAATCATTTAATAGAAATAATTGGGATAATATAAGAAATTGATATTAAGTATATACTTTTTAGTATTTTGTATCAATTTTATTCCGATTATTTCAACAAATTAAGTAGATATAGCATGTATTTTTGGAGGTATTCTCTCAACTCTTTTAATGGGAATATACTTCTAAAATTTTGAATTTCAAAGAGGAAATATTATTTCTTATAGTGCTTTAATTTTGTAATTAATTTACTTGATAACTGGTACAATCTTAATATTTATATTGGAAGTTGATGACATATAAATAAGTAGATTTTGCTGATTTAATTTTATATATTATTATTTATTTACTAATAATGGACGCAATTATTTAATATGATAAATCTGAATTTCATGAGACATCATCTGGAATAAAAATATCTAAGAAATCTATAATTAAGGGCACTGAATAAATTAATGTAAGTGGTAGATGCATCTTTTTTCATGATGTTATTTTAAGAGGAGATTTAGCTAAAGTATCAATAGGCAAATATTTGGTTGTTCATGAAAAGGTCACCCTAAAACCATCATATACCTATGGTTACACAAAAGAATCACCTACAAAAAAGGTCATAAAATTTCTTCCTTTAATGATAAGTGATTATGTAGAAATTGATTCAAGTTCTATTATTTAGGCCTCTAAAATAGGTACTTGTACATCAATTGGAAAAAATTGTTACATTGTAATTCTTGAATGTTTATGGTGTGTAGTCTCATAGATGTATAATTGGAGAAAACTCAATAATTCTTGATGATTCCATATTGCCACCTGATACTGTTGTGCCTGCCAATAGCGTATATGGAGGAAGACCAGCTATCTACATAGCTGAAACACCAGAATCAACTGCAATAATTCAAAAGCAAAAATTGATCAATTTTTATAAAAACTTTGTGCCTAAGAGTTGATATTATATTCTATGTTTATTTATAAATTGTTCAACAACAAGATTTTTTCTTTTGATTCTTCTACTATTATGAATCTTCTTACTCAAGAGTGATTATTTATTTAGTAGGAGATAGATTTATCTATCCAACTACAATACCTTATTACTAAAAAATAATAAATAATAATACATGTTTATCCAAATCGATGATGGCATTATCAATTCGTTTTAATATTTCGTGAGTTAAATCTCGAAAGAGTTATTAGACACCAACTCCATTGAGAGCAGAAACTTCAACGTATAAGAAATTATGGTCAACTGCATATTATCTTCCTTGGATGGATGACACTTATCGTCTAAAAATAATTGAAGAGGACCTGTATACTCTTGTAGATCAATTTTATTGCAAACAAGTGCAATTACAACATCTTTAATTATTGAAGCTTCTACTCTCATTTCCGTTGTTTTTTACTTCTTGCACCCATTTTTCAATCCCATTAAATGATTGCATACTACTACAATCATAGCATAGAAGCACTCCTATAGCAGATCGATAGTATGCACGAATCAGAGATCTAAATGTCTCTTGTCCTGCTGTATCCCATATTGACAGACGTATAATTGAACCACAGATATTAATGTCCTTAATACCAAATTCTATACCGACTGTGGCTTCATGTTCTTGACGTGGTCGATCATGCAAAAATTATTATACAAGACATGATTTTCCAACATCTAAATCTATATTAGCTATTTTACATGAATCCCCAATTACGATAAATTTGAATAAGTACTTATATGCAGACATTCACTTTTTTTAATTATTAATTTATATATAATTATTTACCTAAGTTTTTTATCAAATTGAATCCTAACCATAATTATTTATTGTTACATCTCAAAAATACTATTACCTTACTTCAATCAAATTAAATCTAATATTTATTATTATTCATTCAAAAAATACCTAGAAAAAATATATTGATACAATTCTTATATTATTTTCCTCATTAATGATAGAAGAATTAAAGAAAATGGAATTTTGAATAAAATACATAAATAGTTTAAAGCAATTATTCAATAGAAAAATATTATATAATCATATATTTAAAAAAATAAATTTTTGTAAACTCTAAATGATATCCACATATCAAGAGAGAATAAAATTAGGAATAGAAATTTAAAAAAAAAATATATTGTGATACAGGAATTTTATTATATAGTAGTAGTTCAAAAATAAATAAAAGTTGAAATACAAAAGATCTCTTTTAATTTAGTGTTAGTTTTCTATTCTTTATTAATCAAGTAGAAATACCAAGAATTCAAAAGTAGGCTCTTTCAAATATTAACTTAGAAAAGATGATTGTGATATTTATAAGTAATTAAACAAAAGAATGTACCTTAGAAATGTAACTCGTTAAGAAATGTAAGGGCAGATAGATGCACTTAAATTGTAAATTGAACAAGCTAGATAAAACCATGAACGAACTATAAAATAAATTCGTTCTGACAATTAGAAAGAGGTAAGGATGCTCACATTTGATAGATTAAAGCTCTTTAAGATGAAATCAAAAGGACCTAGGAAATTGTGGCTAATGTGTAGTTTTAATAGTACTTTAAGATGAAGAATGACAATTTAAAGTTAACATAAGAGAATACAATGTTAAGAGATATGCTAAAGGCTTGTCAAATTACAAATTCTACCAAATAAATGGAAATATCAAGAATTCGTTAGCATTTGCGTAGAATAGAAGGGTAATCATTAGAAATTCGCAAAGAGCCTAGCAATTAAGTATGCAAATAAAACAATATAATAAAGTCAAAATAGAATGAATATTCAATTTAACGTAAATACTCAAATTACAAACATCCAACTTAACCATCATTAAATGAATCAAATACAGAACCATCACCTAAATTATAGCCTATCAAATTCAAAGTTAATTAATGATATATAATTTATCTCTATTAAATAAATTGCAATTTTTGAATTCTTTTAATTTCTTACTGTTTCATCCATTATCTATATTTATAGCTAATTTAATGCTAACAGCACCATCACTTAAACATTCTTTATTTAATAATATTTTCTAATTTCTATTCAAAGTTGTTTTCTTCTTTAACTTTTTATTCTTAGTTAAAATAATATTAAGAATATTAGATAGAGATGTTAACTTTATATTCTTAGATTCTCTTTTTATTAAAATTTGCCTCTATTTGTTTTCCTTAATACTTATTATTGCTTTAGTTTTTTAAGTAATTGAGTTATCAAGTATTTTTGATCATTTACATACATAAATTTCGAATTAATTTATGTGTAGATGATTTTAAACATTANTAAATGATATCCACATATCAAGAGAGAATAAAATTAGGAATAGAAATTTAAAAAAAAAATATATTGTGATACAGGAATTTTATTATATAGTAGTAGTTCAAAAATAAATAAAAGTTGAAATACAAAAGATCTCTTTTAATTTAGTGTTAGTTTTCTATTCTTTATTAATCAAGTAGAAATACCAAGAATTCAAAAGTAGGCTCTTTCAAATATTAACTTAGAAAAGATGATTGTGATATTTATAAGTAATTAAACAAAAGAATGTACCTTAGAAATGTAACTCGTTAAGAAATGTAAGGGCAGATAGATGCACTTAAATTGTAAATTGAACAAGCTAGATAAAACCATGAACGAACTATAAAATAAATTCGTTCTGACAATTAGAAAGAGGTAAGGATGCTCACATTTGATAGATTAAAGCTCTTTAAGATGAAATCAAAAGGACCTAGGAAATTGTGGCTAATGTGTAGTTTTAATAGTACTTTAAGATGAAGAATGACAATTTAAAGTTAACATAAGAGAATACAATGTTAAGAGATATGCTAAAGGCTTGTCAAATTACAAATTCTACCAAATAAATGGAAATATCAAGAATTCGTTAGCATTTGCGTAGAATAGAAGGGTAATCATTAGAAATTCGCAAAGAGCCTAGCAATTAAGTATGCAAATAAAACAATATAATAAAGTCAAAATAGAATGAATATTCAATTTAACGTAAATACTCAAATTACAAACATCCAACTTAACCATCATTAAATGAATCAAATACAGAACCATCACCTAAATTATAGCCTATCAAATTCAAAGTTAATTAATGATATATAATTTATCTCTATTAAATAAATTGCAATTTTTGAATTCTTTTAATTTCTTACTGTTTCATCCATTATCTATATTTATAGCTAATTTAATGCTAACAGCACCATCACTTAAACATTCTTTATTTAATAATATTTTCTAATTTCTATTCAAAGTTGTTTTCTTCTTTAACTTTTTATTCTTAGTTAAAATAATATTAAGAATATTAGATAGAGATGTTAACTTTATATTCTTAGATTCTCTTTTTATTAAAATTTGCCTCTATTTGTTTTCCTTAATACTTATTATTGCTTTAGTTTTTTAAGTAATTGAGTTATCAAGTATTTTTGATCATTTACATACATAAATTTCGAATTAATTTATGTGTAGATGATTTTAAACATTATTTTTCAAAATTTAAGAACAAATGATTGCTAAATCTTATAAAAATTCTTGAATTTTAAGAATACGTATATATTCTTTAAGGAATAGAAATTGATAATTGATGCATATTCAATGAATCTTGATATAAATTTAATGCATTATCGAAATCTGACAATTAGAAATATTATTGAGTTTGATAAATTTTGATTAGGAGCAATTTTAAGCTGTACTTCATATTTCAGAATTTTAGTTTTGTTTAATACGCACTTTTTACATTTATTTTTAGTTTTATAATTTAAAAATGAGCTAGGATGGAGAATCTCCTAAATTAAAAAGACATGGATCAAGACATGATTCTACAGTGTCATCAATAATAAATAATGATAGAGGTCGATAGAGTCTACAAATTTTAAATGATCGAAAAGTACTTCTGTTATATGCTTCAGGAGCCACAGCAGCAGAAGGTGAAGTGAATGAATCTCATATGACTGTTGTCAAAGGTAGATTAGAATAAAGATTAAGAAACATTTCTTTTCTCTGTGATCTTGAATACACTTAAGTATAAATTAAAGCCATATCCTAAAGTACCATAATCAAGATGGATGTCTTACAACCCCAATATCTGAATGTGGTAGAAGAACAGTCTATAAAGTTATGGAATTAGAACAGATAACAAATTCTAGACAAACTGTAAGTCTTGTTCGTAAATATAGTCTTATTCTGATATCAGACATATTGCAGAAATCATTAAGGAGAATTATGAAAAATATAGTGCTTTTGTTATTTTGAGTGGAATAGCAACTATCACTTATCTTGGAACAAATCTATCATTTATGCTAGAGAACTTATAAAAAACTGTAATAATCACTGGTTCTTTGATCCCTTTATCTTTTATGAGAAATGATGCATTTTAAAACATCTTAGATTCATTAATCCTAGCTGGTAATTTCTTAATACCAGAAGTTCTGATTGTAATGGATCATAAAGCGTATCGTGCTAATAGATGTAGACAATTAAAATGTGACTCTTTGGATTGTATTGAAAGTCCAAACTTTCCAAATTTGGTCGAATTCGGAATTAATATTGAAATTAAATGGCAATTAGTTTTAAGAAGAGGTGAGTAAATGTTCACTAATGAGGAAAGCACTTTAGAATTAGCACCTCCATTTGTAACAGATATTATTATAATCAAAATTACACCTTATACAAGTGTTGATCATATTAGACATGTTTTAAATACTCCTAAACTGAGATGTTGTATCTTAGAATGCTATCATTTTAGTGAAATGCCACATAGCTAGGAGTTGTTTAATGTATTGATTTATGCACAATAATAACTGGGAATCGTTTTAATTCAAATTTCTCAATGCATAAAAGGACAAACAATCTTGAATTTTAAAAAAACTGTAAATGGCATCATTGTACAATATGATATCACTCCAGAAAGTGCTTAAGCAAAAATAGCTTATTTATTAGGGAAAGGTTATAGCAATTAAGAAATTATTCAAAAATTTCCATAGAATTTATAGGGTGAGACAGAATCAGTTCGTTAGTTTGAAAAATTTGAAGGATAAAAGCAACATTTTATTTAAACAATATTGGAGACTTTACAAAAAACATCTGGAGATGAGCAAATTAGTTAGAATATGGATATAATGAATAAATATATAATACCAAATTTGGGATGCTTTTTAGCAACAACTGGATAATTAGAATTGATAAAAGACTTAAGGAAGAATGAAGGGAATTTAAATATACCTGATTTTGATGGGAGAACTATATTACATTTGGCTGCTGCAAATAAATAAATAGAGATAATAAAATACTTAGTAGAGGAGGTTCATGTAGAAATAAATCCTGCTGATTATTTAGGATATACTCCTATGTATGAAGTATTGATTAGTAGAGATAAAGAATTATTATTGTTTTTTTAATAAAATGGTGGAATTATTTCAGCCCCTCATCATATTTTGGTGGATTTAATATTAAATTCAGGTTTGGAAGGAGATTTATAGATGTTAGAATTATTATTTCATGGAGGTATAAAAAATCTGAATGATTATGTAAATGTTGATAATCGCAACATAGGTCATATGGCAGTGATGTCTATGTGTTCAAAAATAATTAGATTTTTAAGATTCGTAGCTAAATTCGACTTTAGTGAAAGAGATAGATGGGGGAATACACCATATGAAAATGCAATAGAAATAAAAAGTAAAAAGATTAAAGTACAAAAGATGAATGAAGTGGTAATTGATGAAATTATTGAGATGTTAGGAATTATAGGAAATGATTGATAATCAATTAGTATAAATAAAAATGCTAATATTATATACAATTAGAATCACCAATTAGGAGGTGGCATTCCCTTATTTTTTTTAACTCTCTATTCTGGTGTGAATGTGGCTACATATCTATTAAATGTAATTTCATCAAGAATGACATCAAATTCAATAAATGTAGGATCTCCTTTCTTAATAGGAGTAATGTGAACTTCATTATGGATTCCTGAGATATTACCATTATCAAATAGCCATTTCAATCTTTAGGAATGATCATCAATATTGTATTTCAATTTATATGTTCGTTTGTTCATAATCATATTTGATTTGTCTTCCATAATTTACAATAATTTTTTGATGTTTGTATTCTACAAGGCACTAATAGGAACAATAGGATAATTCTATTGTTCAATTTAATTTAAATCTATTGGGTTCTTGATCAAATCAATTTTATTCCATACTTCAATCTAAATTAGATAAATAAAACTAATATACCATTTTTGTACTATAAAATTATTCATCAAATCCTAATTAATGTAAGACTTCAAGTACTACTTACTTTTATTATTCTGTACAAGGATGAGATATATCTCTAATATGTAATACAATATCAGCATCTGATACCTCTTCTAATGTACATTTAAATGATTCTACTAAATCATGTGGAAGATCTGTTATAAATCCTATTGTATCTAACATTATTGCTTTCTATCCAGAAGCTAATCGAATTTGTTTAGATGTCGTACTCAAAGTTTAAAATAATAGATCCTTACTTTCAACTACTTCTTTTTATAATATACAATTTAATAATTATGATTTACCAGCATTTGTATATCCAATTAGAGCTATTCTTGGAATAGTATGTATTAATTTCTTTTATTTCAATTTTCCTCTCTACTATCCTTCTTCTTCAATTTATCTACGTACTTTAGCAATCCTTTCATCTATCTTTCTTCTTTATATCTATATTTCACTCTCTCCTGATCCACTCATCTTTCCTAAAGCTCTTCTTTATTTTGCAGATACAACTTCCAAATAAACTTCTTTTGCCATCATTAAATCTCCTAAAAATATTGATGAAAGAGATGCAAATGCACTGCCACTTCTTACTAATTTAGTTTTTGCAAATTTAAGAAATGATAATTCTATTTATTATCTAGCTACTCCTTAGGTAGATCTCTTTGCAAATATTTATAATATCATTGTAAATCTATCAAATACTTTTACATATGCATCTTCATATTCTATATCTGTTTCAGCATCTGTTGCTATATCACTATCATCAGGATTTTCACTTCTTCTAAAAGTTGCTATTTCTCCTTTTGCATATTAAGTCCATACTTTCTCTAAATTTCTTGTTTATAAAGGAGTTAATTCATGATTAATAAATACTGCATTTATCTTTTTATCATATATATGTTCACCTAACATAGCTACTTTCCCTTTTGTAAAAAAAGTAGAAGAATGAATTCTCTTTACTTTAACTAAAGATGATTTTGCTATAGAACTTCTAATTATTTTATTTTTCCATTCATGTCCTAAATCATCACCACTATCATCTGATGATAAATCTACTAATAATTAACCATCATCATATGTCCCAGATAAAAATGGTATATAAACATATTCCCCATTTCTTAAATGTGCTTTTCCTGAAAGCTCCCATCCTTCTGCTTTCAATTCATCCTCTTTATTTTCTACCTTTGCTTATATTGGATTCCTTCCTTAACTTCTACGTATATTCTCTGTATATTCCTCCTTCCAAAAAGGTCCTTTCTCCAGTGTCCAATTTAATGATTTTGATAATCCTACTGCTTCCTCTGCCAAATATAATTCCAATTCTGGACCTTTATTTGGATAAAATATTGGATGAAGAACCAAACAATTTACCTAAGTGAATCCAAATGGAGCCCTTATCCTCTGAATACCTTAAGATTCTACTTCTTTTGAAAATCTATACTTAAGCACAGCATTGCTTAATCTTCTTATAAGCATATTTATATATTTATAATTTATATGAACAAATTATCATTGCCTACAGATACCAAAGACAATGAGTTCTTTGATGAAGATGCCATTTCTAAATCAACCATCTAGGCCTTAAACAATTCTTTCGATAAAGAACAATTAGATGAATAAATTGAAAGACCATTTACTCCCATCGATACATAAATTGACTCTATACCTAAAGAATAGTGTAAATTTTGTAAACGACAATTCTTTCAAGGAAAATTAGCACTTCATTCACGTAGTTGTACTGCTGATCATCCTTTTCTCAAAAAATCTAATAAACAAAAAACATTAATACCTTTAACTTAACCAGTTATTTAACCTTGTCCTTACTGTCAAAAAAAATTAAGAAATCCTCAAATTCATGCTTTAAAATGTCCTGCTAGACCAAAAGCATTAGACAAATATAAAGTTATTGCATCTATCAATGAAGAAGAAGAAGCAGATGAAACCTTACTCTAAGAACTATCATCAAGTTAACCTACATTTTTACCTAAAATCAAATAACGCCCAGAAAACTTGCTATCTCGCTCGGTACCCATTGTTAAGTGTCCTTCTTGTCAGAAAACATTTGAATAAAAAGCAGCTGACAAACATATTTAAATATGCTTTCGCATGAACAGTGGCAATAAATTTTAAAGAAATGTATTCTGTACTAATTGCGGAAACAAATTCGCTAATAACCATAAGTACTGTGGTTCTTGTGGAAAAAAAAGACTATGACAAAATTATATTATCATGTATTTTTATCTCATTTTAATTCATAATCTCTATCTTATTTGTTGAAATTTCCTTCTAAAATTTTGAATCACATTCAAAACCACAAAAATACTCTTATTCCCATCTTAATTAGATTAATTATTGTTCTTAATTCTTATAAAGGAAAAATTTAACTAAATCAAAGTTCTATTTAGCTTTAATTAAATATCCTGATTATTAAATAGGATAGGATTTAAACCAATGCAAAAACACTTGATACTTAGAATAAAATCACATAAATGATTCAACGGTTTTATTGATCAAATGAAAAGAATAATTATTAATCTTTTTAAAATGTAATAAAAATTTCAAATATGTCAAAATAATAAAAATTTAACTAATCCAATTTTATTAGCATTGAAAATATTGAAATGATTAATTATTACAACTTCTTTTAACTAACTCTTGAGCTATTTCTTTAAAAAGAAAATTGTAACCTTCCAAATAATATACCCCGATTAATATTTTTCATCATTTGATATTTGAATTCTAAACCCTGATAGAATCTTCAATCAAATATTTTTGATCTAAATCTAATTTTTTTGAGTTTCAAGTTGGATGTTATGAATGTAATTTTTTCCACTAATTTACATCTTACCGAAATTGAATGGCCTATAAATTTGTAAAACTTACAATCAAAATAGGTTGTACATAGTGATTTCAGAGTAATTCTTTTTAATAAAACGATAGGTTTTTTTAATGACGAAATTTATTTATGATTTAAGGATTAAAATTAAAAAGGAATTTTATAGGAGAAATATTAAAAGCCAATTAATTAAATTAAATAATCCTAGTAATAAATTAGATATTTAGACAATATACATAAATATTAATAATATTATTATATAAAATGCAAATGGAATAATTTCTAATAAAAAAAATTATTTTAGGAAGAATATATAATTTAATTTTATAATTTAATGTAAGGTGTGAAGTTAAAGTAGTAGATAGGATTGATCTTAAGAAAAGACTTTGATGCAATGCCATTAATAAAATAGTTGATGGATCAATCATTGAATTAACCTCTATTACTTTTAAATGATGAAGAATAAATGTGGACTTAAATTTCGAGAGCAATAGAGAATTTAAATCAAAAGAGTCTAAAGAAGTTAAAATAAATAGAAGAGAGAGCAGCAAAGATAGCAGGTTAAGTAGTAGAGTAATAAGGGGAGGAGGATTAAATAGAGAAGTAGGAATAATAAGAGTAAGATGAAGAGGATGTTATTGAATAAGATGAATAATAGGAGTATAATGAAGGAGATGAGGATGAATAAGAAAAAGAAATGGAGTAAGAGTATGATGAGGATGGAGGAAACTTTAGATTTGAGAAGAAGTAAAAATAAAAGGATGATTTTGATGAGTTTGAGAAATATATGTAAGATTATGATGATGGAAAGATGGGTAAAATAGATTTAGATGAGGAGGAGAATGAAGAGGAAGAGGAAGAAGATGAAGAGAAGGAACAACAAAATGAAGATGAAGAGAATAATGAAGGGTAAGAGATTAAATAGATAGAATGATAGGGAGGACTCTGTATTTGATGATATGAGAGAGGAGGAATTACAATAAGAAAATAATGATGTTGAAGAAGATGAAGAAATAAAGAATTTAGAAGAGTAGAGATTGAAAAAAAAGGATTGGTAATTGGTAGGTGAGGTTTAGGGTAGATAGAGGCCGTTAAATTCATTGATTGATTAGGATTTAGATTTTGATGTAAATAGAAAGATATTGGAAGAGACAACTCCAGAGTAATAAAATAAATTAATAGAAATGATAAAGTAAATTATATCATAGATTATATAATAGAAAGAGAGTTTAAGATGAATTATTTGATGATAGATAGAAGGTTTAGATAAATTTGAATTCTTTAGAGAAGCCAGTTGATTAAGTAGATACAAATAAGTCATAGTTTGGATTGGCTGAATTATATGAAAGATAATTTAAATAGGCTTTAGGATTGCCTACAAATACAAGTGAATAGAAATTGAAATAAGAATTATTCGAATTATTTANAAAATGCAAATGGAATAATTTCTAATAAAAAAAATTATTTTAGGAAGAATATATAATTTAATTTTATAATTTAATGTAAGGTGTGAAGTTAAAGTAGTAGATAGGATTGATCTTAAGAAAAGACTTTGATGCAATGCCATTAATAAAATAGTTGATGGATCAATCATTGAATTAACCTCTATTACTTTTAAATGATGAAGAATAAATGTGGACTTAAATTTCGAGAGCAATAGAGAATTTAAATCAAAAGAGTCTAAAGAAGTTAAAATAAATAGAAGAGAGAGCAGCAAAGATAGCAGGTTAAGTAGTAGAGTAATAAGGGGAGGAGGATTAAATAGAGAAGTAGGAATAATAAGAGTAAGATGAAGAGGATGTTATTGAATAAGATGAATAATAGGAGTATAATGAAGGAGATGAGGATGAATAAGAAAAAGAAATGGAGTAAGAGTATGATGAGGATGGAGGAAACTTTAGATTTGAGAAGAAGTAAAAATAAAAGGATGATTTTGATGAGTTTGAGAAATATATGTAAGATTATGATGATGGAAAGATGGGTAAAATAGATTTAGATGAGGAGGAGAATGAAGAGGAAGAGGAAGAAGATGAAGAGAAGGAACAACAAAATGAAGATGAAGAGAATAATGAAGGGTAAGAGATTAAATAGATAGAATGATAGGGAGGACTCTGTATTTGATGATATGAGAGAGGAGGAATTACAATAAGAAAATAATGATGTTGAAGAAGATGAAGAAATAAAGAATTTAGAAGAGTAGAGATTGAAAAAAAAGGATTGGTAATTGGTAGGTGAGGTTTAGGGTAGATAGAGGCCGTTAAATTCATTGATTGATTAGGATTTAGATTTTGATGTAAATAGAAAGATATTGGAAGAGACAACTCCAGAGTAATAAAATAAATTAATAGAAATGATAAAGTAAATTATATCATAGATTATATAATAGAAAGAGAGTTTAAGATGAATTATTTGATGATAGATAGAAGGTTTAGATAAATTTGAATTCTTTAGAGAAGCCAGTTGATTAAGTAGATACAAATAAGTCATAGTTTGGATTGGCTGAATTATATGAAAGATAATTTAAATAGGCTTTAGGATTGCCTACAAATACAAGTGAATAGAAATTGAAATAAGAATTATTCGAATTATTTAGAGAATTATGTTATAAATTAGATTCTTTAACTAATTTAAATTTCGAACCTAGAGGATATGTAAAATAGGCAGAAGTTTAGGTTTTGGATAATAATGTAGTATAGAGAGAGGAGAAAGTGCCAATAACAGGAAGAGGTGAGTAGATGGAGGATGTAGAGAAAATAAAGAAGACAGGGTTTTTATCTAAGGAAGAAGCTGATCATTAATTGAATAAGAAGGGTAGAAGAATGGCTAAATAGAGAAAAAGAAATAGAGAGAGAGAAAAGAGAAGAAGTGGATTAATTAAGAAGTTAGAAAGTAGAGGAGAGACTAAATTTATGTATAATTAACATCAGTAAGGAAAGAAACAGATGAGTTTCATTAAGTAATAAAAAAATAAGGAAAGTGTTAAATTTGATAAGACTAGCACATTTTTTAAGAATTTATAAGAAAGTGGAGTAAATAAATAAGGAAAAGATAATAAAAATAAGAAAATAGGAGATATATAAGGAGGAGGAGATAATATAAAGAGTAAGTCTAAACAGATAAAAAAGTAATGAATAGTTTTGTTTATAATTAATAAATTATATATATAATAATAAATGTTTTAGAATGATGGTAATGGTTAATCACCACATTGTTATTAATAGGATAGATAGATATTTAAGGTTGTACGTAAGAATGCAAATTAATGTGCTATTAAAAATCATACTTCTATACATTACAAGAATTAGATTTTTATATTTGGTGGATATGATTCTAAAAAGAATCACAATGATATTCATTTATATAAGGATGGGATTTGGACTAAATGTAAAGCAAATGGTAAAATTCCAGAGAGTAGAAATGGACATACAGCAACTTTAGTAGATAATAAAATGTATGTAATTGGTGGCTGGTTAGGAAGTGGGACTTATGCTAGTAAGGATGTTTATGTGTTGGATCTTGATAGTTTGAATTGGACACTTGTAAATACAATGGGAGAAGTATAATAAATACTTAATTTAAGGTACCAGGTCCATGTAATATGCATAGTGCTGATTTAATTGGTTAATTGATATATATTTTCAGAGGAGGAGATGGCAAAGATTATTTGAATGATTTACATAGTTTTAATACTAAAACAAATATATGGAAATTAATTTAGACAGCTGATAATTTAAGACCTCCATCTAGAGCTAATCATAGTTCCTCAGTTTGTTAAAATAAATTATTCATTTTTGGAGGTTGGGATGGCTCTAAAAGACTAAATGATTTATTTTGTTATGATGTAACTACCAATAAATGGATTGAACTAAAACCTCTTTAATCTCCTAGTGCTAGGGCTGGAATGTGCATGACTACTATTAATAATAAAATCTATTTATTTGGTGGCAGTGGACCATAGACTACATGTTTTGGAGATTTATAATGTTATGATCCTATTCAAAATGCATGGACTATTTTAGATTTATAGGATGAAGAATCATTTGATAAAGCTAGAGCTGGACATAGTATGACTTCTATTGGTAATCTTATTTATGTTTTCGGTGGATCTTGTGGATCTCATTATTTCAAAGATTTTTTTATTATTGAAACAGATCCACCTCCAAATATCTCTGTCGTTTCCTTCAATAATATCTCTATTAATTAATATTTTAGAAGCTTTTATAATTAATAGAAATATAGTGATCTCATTTTTATTGTAGAGGACAAATAACTATATGCTCATAAATTTATATTATCTCGGTATGAAATGTTCAATAAAATGTTTGAATGGGAATACAAAAATCAATAATAAAAAGTTTAAATTAATGATTGCTCTGCCTATATTTTTGAATAATTTTTATACTTCATTTACACTGGAGAATTATAATATGATTAATATTTACTCTCAGTCGATTTTTATAGATAATTATTGCAAATGGCTGATTATTATTTAATATCAGATATGAAGATGTTCTGTGAGAAATAACTCTCCTTATTAGTTGACAACTCTACTCTACCTAAAATTAAACTTTATGCTGAATAAATGAATGCTAGTTAACTACTTAAATTTTGTGAATGGTATGAAAACCATAATAACTGATTATATATATTTTTTTAATATTTATTATTCACTCAATAATGGTTCTACTCCAAAATTAATTATGCCATAATTTAAATGTGTCTTTAATCGATTATCTAGTTTATGTCAAAATAGGAGGATCATTAACACTTGGAGATTTCAAATCAACACAATGTGAGCAATCATCACAATCAATTAAATAAGTAATGACTTTGCTATTAGCTTTAGTAGCTTTAGTCAATGAAGCTCTTTACCAAGGATCTTCTCCTCCATTAGTCATAATTAAATGATCGACATTTAAATTTAATCCTCCAAAGTAAGCTTCAGTGACTCTAACATCAGGCCAAATAACTTCTCCTTAAGAGTATGCATCATTACACCAATCTCTCCACCAATCTAAAGTTAATTCATAAGATCTTAAAGAATCTTTATTCTAAAATAAATTTATAGAAAATACTTAGGGAGGTGTTTATAAATAAGCGACTTCAGTACAACATTAGAAATACCATTAACGATGTTAAGAGTTCTCATCTATAGTTTCATTTCTTAGATAATAAGCACCATATTATTTATAACTGTCTCCTTATGAGAGTGCAATTTCTCTAATATATTCAGCCATTCTCTCAATAGAAGGTAAGGATTCAAGAGTTTCACAAAACTTTGTTCTTTTTCCTTATTAAACCATTTAAACAATGGTATCAACCCAGAACCATCTAAATTCATTGTCTGTCATTTTGCCACATCTAAAGGATTCTTTGAATGCTTATTTAGTGTTAAAGTTCTTTAAATTCTTATCTACATAGCTATTCAACAATTATAAATAGAGTGGACATCTAAATATATAATATTATTATAATACTATTCACCACTTTTGCTTGTACTTTTTCTAATTTAATCATCGAATTCCCAAAAGTCAAGTATTGTGTTAATGACTCCACTACTAGCTAAATTACCAACTGTCAAATGAGGATATTTGTATCTAAACCAAGCAGATAAAGCACCTGGATATGATCCACCAATTGCATACCTAATTAAGATATCTTTAATACCATGGTAATGTAGAATCTATGTTATGTAGTTGAAGTCTCTTCATTTACAATATAAAATAAGCAAGATCATCTAAAGCTTAATGAACATTTAGATAAGCTAAGTTCTCTAAACTCCAAGAATCTTCACCAAATGGTTGAGATTGTCCATAGAATCTGTGTTCTAATGCTATTACTATTGCTCCTAATTCTTTAGCCAATTAAAAGGAAAATGAGTTATCACTTACTCCTTAACAATTCCATTCTCCACAAATATATAATATAACTCCACCTCTTGTAGTATTATAATATTAAGAATATACATGGTATCTCTATTACCATGTTTGATTATTAGCTGGGTCACTATGATCTAAAAGCTATGTGAATTGAAAAGTCTCTTTTGTTTCTGTAAATGGTCCTTACGTCAACACATGAGGAGCGATTGCGTAAGAGCAAATTGTTAATGCTGACAAAATCAAATACATAATTTATTAATTAAATTACACAATATCAATCTAATATATATAGTGTCATCAATATCATTCTAATATATATATAATGTGTCATTCAATCATCTTCATTCAAGAAGCTCTATATATATATATTAAATAAATATCTTATTGTAGAATATCATCACTAAAAAAACATATTTATTAACACAAAGCATTTTCTAATAAATCTCAATATACTGTTAGACTTCTTTGATTATTCCCTAATTGATCAAATTAGATCATAATTGAATAGATAATTCATAATTGTCATTTATTATTTACTCTTCCTTTTATCATTGTAGCTATTTTATTTTTTATGTCCTATCAATGCTTTAATTTTATATTATTATTTCAATTTCATTCTTATTTGATATCTAATCAATACTTATACTTATTTTTACATATTTCTTTTAAAATCTATCCGAAATTCCTATTTTCTTATTTTGCACAATTAATCTCTTAATCAATTTTTAATATATTAATTTGCACTATTAATCTAGTAATCTAATTATAAATTAATAAATAAAAATCGCTGAAAAATATTGCTAATTTTAAATATCATTTCAACATCCTTTCTAAATCTTCAATATCGAATTTTATTTTTTATAAAATTGAATTAATCAATTTCCTTACACATATTTTTGATTTAGTTGGTTGTAAATTTTCATACATATTAAGTTTTCTATTTAGATAAATATTTTCTTACTAAATTAAAATATCAATTTCACTAATTAAAAAAAAAATACTTATTCTCTTTTTGAGAGACAATTAGAATATAAGGATAATCAAAAATAAAACAACTATTAATAATTTGTATGTAATTTTAGGTTAATTTTATCGAAAATGGAACAAAAAAAATTAGGGAATCTAATTTAATTAATAGTGAAATGAAAATGAAAAATTTTTAGGGAAATTTATTAAGAAAGAATGTGTTTTATTATGGTTAAGCAATATGATTAGTATTATTATTGCATCTGATTATAATATTGATTTAAATTTAAAAATATAATATATGAGCAAGGATAACAAAGGTGAAATTGATGTTGATAGTATCATTGAAAGACTTTTGAGTGTTAGAGGAAGTAAACCAGGAAAAAATGTAAACTTAACAGAGGCAGAAGTGAGAGGATTATGTATAAAAGCTAGAGACATTTTTATTTCTCAACCAATTTTATTGGAACTTGAAGCTCCATTAAAAATATGTGGTTAGTTTATAATAATATTAGTTTGTAGGTGATGTGCATGGTTAATATTTTGATTTGCTTAGATTATTTGAGTATGGAGGTTATCCTCCAGAAAGTAATTATCTTTTCCTTGGTGATTATGTTGATAGAGGTAATTAAAGTTAATTTATTTTGATAGGAAAACAATCATTAGAAACAATTTGTCTTTTATTAGCATATAAAATAAAATATCCTGAAAATTTCTTTTTATTGAGAGGCAATCATGAATGTGCATCTATAAACAGAATTTATGGATTTTATGATGAATGTAAATTAGATTAATAGTAATGATAGGCAAACGAAGATATACTATAAAATTATGGAAAACATTCACTGACTGTTTTAATTGTTTACCTGTAGCTGCATTAATTGATGAAAAGATTTTATGTATGCATGGTGGATTATCTCCTGAATTATCAAATTTGGAACAAATTAGACGAATAATGAGACCAACAGATGTTCCAGATACTGGATTACTTTGTGATTTATTATGGTCTGATCCTGATAAAGATGTTTAAGGATGGGCAGATAATGAAAGAGGTGTTTCATATGTTTTTAGTCAAGAAATCGTTTAAGTCTTTCTTAAAAAACATGAATTAGATTTAATATGTAGAGCACATCAAGTAAATATATATATATATCATATTTTTATAGGTGGTTGAAGATGGATATGAGTTTTTTAGTAAAAGATAATTAGTAACATTATTTTCAGCCCCGAATTATTGTGGTGAATTTGATAATGCAGGTATATATCTAATATTATAATATTTATAGGATCTATGATGACTGTTGATGAATCCCTCATGTGTTCTTTTTAAATTTTGAAACCAGCAGAATAAGGATAAGGTGCCTCCCAATAAAATAAAGCAGGAAGTGCTAAATTTGTGAACTGAATCATCATCTATATTATCATAATTAAATTCACATATTTTTCATTAGATTCTTATTATTTATTAACAAATTACATTATTTTCTTTATGATCAATTATTAACAAATCACTTAAGTTGACCTAAAAGCTATAGAAATGATTTTTGCATTGCTTCTACTCAGTTGTCTAACATACATTTGGTTTACTTTCATATCACTTAAGTTTACAATCATTCTTATTTTAACTATTATTTCTATTGTTGTCATCTTAAAAATTAGATGGATAAGAATTAAATAATAAGGATTCTTAAATAAAATATCTGTAAAACTTAGAAAAATATTATTGGAAAGATCCTTATTTGATATACTTTGTGATATTTGGTATTTCGAAACTATTAAGAGACATGTTAGAGTATTTCTAGGTCCATTTTTAATTAAAAAAACACCTGAAGAAATTATTGAATCATTTGAAGACATCAATCCAAATTTAAAAGAAGCTATTCTTAGAAAAGGAACTATTAATTTATTTCCAGAACCTATTAAAAAAGAATTAATAGAAAATTACATTAAAGAAGATGAAATATAAGTTAATTAAGATAAATAATTACATCAATAAATTATACAACAACCACTTAAAGTTGAACATTGGGATAGATATGCAGATTATGAATAATATACACATAAAAAAAGAAGAAATAATCCATAAACATTATTACATGTTATCTCTTTACTTTTGCATAAACCAATTGTTCATAAAGAGAATCATAAACTTAATTTACGAAAGTTTTATTGATCAAATATTTTTTTAGATTATCAAACAACACGAAATCACTTTTGATTGGATCCATCTTATGTATTATGATTTAGGTGTATTTTTCAAAATCATCTAGATAGATATATAAAAAAGCATTCACTATTTTATCTTCCATGTCTTTATTAGCATTGGCTTCCACTGCTTTAGGAATCATGGCTTTAAGTAATAAAAAATAAAAAACATTATGATTTTTTATCAAATATTATATATATAACAAATATAATAATTTTAATATATAATTTTACATGTAAGAAAATCTTCAAACTGATATAAGTAACATGACTTTTAAAAGAGAAGCCACTTTCTCATTAAAATAAATTTGTAGCTCTTAAATCTTTTTTGAAAATAGAAGACCTTCAACTAAAAAATCTCTTTATCTTAAAACCACCCAAAATTAAGTAAGATTACCTCATTTTAAAACTTAAATCATTCCAAGGTATGATGAACAAATATCAAATCAAAAAACTAATACCATTATATCAGGAAAGACTTATATTACTAAAGCTATGGAACATTAATATTTAAGAATTTCATGTGAAAATTTAATGGCACCCTTTATTTGTTAAGTTTAATGCACAAGTGAATTTTAATTAATGATTTCATAAATTCATCCATTCCCAACTAATTATAATTGTGAGTAAGTTATTAATAATAGGGGATTCGTTGTTTCAGTAATCACAGGGGAATTTATTTATATTTCAACCATTACTCGAAAAGATTCAGAACTTCAATTCATACTCTAATTCAATGAAAAACTTGATGAAACTTAAAGAATTAAAACTATTTAAAATGTAACATCTTTTGATTTCTAATAAATGTATAAATTTTCACATTCCAAATCTTTTTAATATATAATCAATTCAAATAAGGAATAAGCAGGAATTAAAAAAAATAAATATTAAGATGAAATCTCAAGATCAGAAAGATTCTTGAAAGTATTATCTACAAGAAACTTTTAAAGACAATCAAAAACATAAGCAAAAATGTAAAAGCAATATCAAATTAAAGCTAAGAAACTAGCTAATTAGGAAAAAATCCTCACTAAAATTATAAATGATAAGAGATCTCAAAAAGTCATTTTTGAATAATAATGGGCTATTATTATTTATTTTATTAAAATGACTTCTACAATTTTTGAGAGATTTTCCCATAAAAAGGAAATAATTTTGAAGAATATTTTAGTAGCATTTAGAATGAAAATATATTTACGTCGAGTGAAAAAAAAAATAATAATGCCAAAAGGAGATTCAGTAGAAACAAGAGCTTTATTTGATAGTTTTTTATCAATTAAGGCTAAAACAAGAATAATTAGAAAAAAAATACGAGCAATTTAAGTTGAAGTATTATTACCAATTTTTAAAAAAAGAGCTACTATTTATTGTATAAAAATGAAATTGTTAAAGTTAGGAACCAAATTATAAATAATTAAGAAACATATTCTAGAATTTGAAGAGAATTATATAAAGTATAGAGATAATATGATAATTAAATGGGACAATCTGAATGAGAAGATAAAAGATGAAGAGATAAAATGGAAATAAGCTGCATTGAGAAATAAAGGACTCGTGACTTGGTTCTAAGTATTGAAAGATAAAGATTTTGCATAATAAATGAGAAAATGTTTTATTTTTGAATTAATGAGAGATAGAATAAGATAACATATTTAAGATTAGCATTTAATAAAGAAATATAGAATAGATTTAAAATATTATAAATAGAAATTGAAAGTTTGTAGAGATTTTCTAGAAGCTAATACATTTAGAGGGGAGATCTTTAGATTAACTAGTGATATTTATGCAATGCATATGAAGAATTAGTTATTTATGCATGTTGATGTAGAAAAGTATTTTCATTTGTTAGTAAATAAATATATATCTTTGGTTGATGATGTTGACATTTTGCCAAATGAATTGTCAATGTAATAAAAATAGAAATAAAGATAATCTAAACTTTCAATAAGAAGAGTAACGAAAAAATCTAAAATTTGATCAGATAATTTCTTTTGTTTTTTTAATATTTTTCTAATAAAATAAATACATTAAAAAAAAAAAAGAATATTAATTAAACACGTACTAAATGGTATAAATATATCATTATTATTTATCTTCTCTTTTTTTACTTGCAAATGTTTTTTATCTCTGTAATTCTTTTTTCTTCATTTTTGATAATTCAAGTCTTTTTTATCTTCTTTCTTTGTTTCTCAATTTTTTTGTTTTTAATCTCAATTATGTTTTAGATTTTGCATTAGGTTGAGTTGGTAATAAAATAGGTTTTTTCTATAAATTAATAGATATTATATACTTTAATTTATTTCTATTGATCATGACAATATAAGCGATAGATGTTGGATAATGAATCAGCAAATTTATTTATTTATTATTTATTTGAGGATGTAGAAATATTTAATTTTTATGTTTATGATCTAACAATGATTTCATTAATGTCATTAGCTGTTTTGATTTCATTGAATAATTGTTATTTTTATTTTCTTTTTATTTTTTTTTTAAGTTATGGATATTGATCTTTTAGATCTAAAAGAAAGATTATAATAATAAGATGAAATACTTCTTTTGATAGTAAGTTTAATGATTTTTTCTCCATTAAACAATTTAGACAATAAACTTAGAAAACTATCTGGTTTCTTTTTTCCCATATATTTTTGTAAAATATAAAATATTATATTATTATTATAAATGTACTAAATGAAATCAAATAGCAGGTAGATTGCCTTCCATAATTAATTTTCTAGCCTAATCAAATACTTTTTCAGGATCAACATTAATTTTTGCAACTCCTGTTTTCATGGCAGCAATAGCAACAGCTCTAGCAACGTTAGCAGGTATTTCTGCAGTCAAAGCTCCAGGTAAGATTTTAATAGTAGAAAGTTCTGATTCTTTAATACTATTAGCAATAGCATAAGCAGCAGCAATCTTATTTAAATTAGGGAATGAATTACTTTCATATCTAAATTAATTTCTTTTGCTCTAGTATCAATAGCACCTCTAAAGATTCCTGGAAATGCTAAAGAATTATTGACTTAATTATTAAAGTCAGATCTTCCAGTAGCAACAATAAATGCCCCAGCTTAAATAGCTTCATCAGGCATAATTTCTGGTATAGGATTTGCTAATGCTAATATGAATGGATCTTTATTCATAGTTTTAACCATATCTTAAGTTAAAGCACCCTAAATATATAATGAATATAATGTACAGCACTAGATACTCCAACAAAAAGATCTCGTTATTTAACTGCATCGGCAAGTGTACCTTGAATTTTATTTTTATTAGTAAATTTAGCTAAATCATTTTTAAAATTGTTCATATTTTATTGTCTACCTTCATAAATAATACCTGATGTATCACATATGAGAATATCTTCAATTCCATGTCCATGTAATAATTTACAAATTGCAACACCAGCAGCCCTTAATAATTAGTATAAGGTATAAATATTTACCCTGCTCCATTAATAACTAATTTTAAATCCTTTACATTCTTTTTAGTTAATTTAAGATAATTAATAACAGCTGCTAAACTAACAACAGCAGTTCCATGTTAATCATCATGCATTAAAGGTATATGTAAACTATGAACTGCTTCTTCTTCTATAGGAAAACAATCAGGAGCTCTTAAATCTTCTAAATTAATTGCTGAAAATATTGGAGCAATACTTAAATAGAATTAATAAATATATACCATTTAATAATTCTAACCAATTTATGTGGATCTTTCTCTTTAAGACATATAGGCATAAGATCTATACCACCTAATGCATTAAATAAAACTGATTTCCCTTCCATTACTGGAGATCCTGCTGATGGTCCAATATTACCTAAACCTAATATGGCTGTCCCATTTGTTATTATAGCAGCATAATTCTTTTTGAAAGTTATCTCTCTTAATTTTGTTGGATCATCAATAAGTATTTATCTCAGTTATGCTAATTCATCTGCTTAATATGATGTTTCATATATTCTATAAAGATCTTCTAGAGATCTTGAATTAAATTTTAATTCTATTGTAATCATTCCATTGTATCTTTTATGTAATTCTAAAGCATTCTAATTAAAATCATTTTTCTATAACAGATGATCATTCTTCCATTTATTATAATAGGCAACTTCACCATATATATATAGATCATTTAATTTATTTATAAAGATTTCTGGTTTTATATTTTAAACAGTATGATGATACCATTTATTATTATAGATCTCTTGTAAGCCTATAGCATAGGCCTTATTCAATGTAATTGTCAAATAAGATGGTAAATTTGTAAAGTCTATTCTTTTTATTTCTTTTTTTATTTACTCACATTAAGAAGGTTTAAGTATAGCTCTTCCATCTAGAGTTGCTTTAACTAATGCAGCATCTTAAAGTTGCTCTCTCAAATTATGAGAATTAGATATAATTACTGTACATTAGAGATTAGCAATTTCTACAGCAATAATTATTTATTTAGCTAACGTATCTTCAATGTCAATTAAAACTATAGTCTAAAAATAGAATTCTAAAATAATACTTTATATGTTGTTGATAAATTATCCATGACTAACAAATAATCAGACACATCTGTCATTATATGTCTATCTAAGATTATTGGATAAGCATCAACATCATAAAATGCCTTATATAAAGCACTTATCGCTTCTAAATTAGGAATCATTTTTGATGGTCTAGGAAGATCAAATTCTAAATGAATTAAATTCTCATAATTACTTGATCCATCAGCAAGTAGAGCTATTGAATTTCCAGTTATTGTCAAATCATACAGTTAATCTTAATCTTTTTCAATCACCTTACAAATATGGCCAACTCCTGGAGTATATACAAGAGACAATGTATAATTGTCAGTAACTCTCACTTTTGGCTTTATTCTTATTAAACCATTCGTTCTCAGAAATAAATTTTTTAGACTTTATTGAGGATTCATTTTAATTTTTTTATATGATATTTCCAATTTTTCTCACCAGTATTTATAATATATATTATGATGTAATCATTTCATAACAATCTCCAATATTCTAATCATAACTAGTTCATCACTAAAATTCATACAAAGTAAGTCAGATCATAATAGGCTAAATGTTTAAATTTTTATTCTTTTAATAATACTATTTCATAATAATTACGAAAAAATCTAAGAAATTAAAAGAATATGAAAAAACATAAATCAGAAATTATGAAATATAAAACAATAACTAGAATTTAAGAAGGTTATTCATTAACTATCTAAATTCAATTCAAATCTCTTAATTAAATGAGTAAATAAATCAATGAAAATTTTGAAAAAGATTATTTGTGCCATTCACTATACCTAATCAATCTAATGGTAATATGATATTTATGAATATTTGATCATAAGAGGATTACAATTAAATGAATAAATTTTCTATAATTTAAGGCTAAATATTATTTATAGTTTAAGTGAAGATGGTATATATATACCACTCTTTTCAATTATTTAAACAATAAATAAACTTATCCAAATATCCAAACTAATATAGAGAAACTGAATATATCATTCATATTAGGAAGTTCTTAAAAATAAGGTGATATATGTAATTTAGAAGGAAGTAGTTGTTGTATTATCAGGAACTAATATGAAAATTAAATATTTTATATATTGATGCAAAAATCCTTATTAGTAAAATAGCAGCACCACTATTAACTCTTAAATTATTGATGATGAATTTTTTCGATTTCTTCCTTTTATTTTATAATCTGGAATTGTAATCGATTTTAATCATCATATAGATTGTATTTAAATTTAGATTCAATAAATCACTAGGAGATATTAATAACTATAGAGATGGAACTCTAAGAAATAATGGAGAATAGATAGTATTTTTAAAATAGTAAATAATTAGAAATTAGAAGAAATAAAATTGTTATATAAATATATATATGATAGAATGAGATACAAATAGTAAATTTACAATCAATATTCTGATTATAACTTGGCTTCATTTATGATAATCTAGTCAAAGATATCTATTAGCTTCTATGCTAAACGATATCCTCCTATAGCTAAATTTTCTTCACAGAATTGTTATGCTTATTGGACATAATCTTTATTGTAGCTATTAGAATTGGCAATCATTGGATATACAAATTGAATTGCTTATCTATATCCCACATAAGTCCAGACTGTTGGATTACTATTTAAATATTAATTTGTATAATACGTCATATCCAAATTATTATATTTCGTAAATTAATACTTTTTTATTACGTCTAATGACCATTTATTTAAATATTCTTGATCACTCTAACTCAGAGGTCGCACTAGAAAAGAATTATTAGGATTGAAGGCAAATGCTCCTGCATCCCAAAAAGAATGCAAATTTACTAAAGTTCCATTTTCCAACTAAAATTATCTTTTTCAATTTTACCTGCACTTTCATGAAATTTCCACCTTAATCTCCATTTGGATAAGAAGCATTCCAAAAAGTAGTATCATGTAATGGTTAATGCATATCTCCAATAACATGAAGTAGCACTCTAAGCATCTATGCTTTAAATACTGTATGTCTGTTTTTAGCTGTTTTGGTATTAGTAAGTACAGAAACTGCTTGATTGATTGCATAAATAGAATTAATATTTCTAGTTTGATCATCTAACTTTATCAATAACCCATCTGGATTAATTGGTCTATCTGTATAATGCCAATCATTCATAAATGAAGTTCCTGTTTCTTTTATGTCATCCATCCATGCTGCGGCTTCTGCAAAAGTGTTAGACTTTCCATCTGTAAGTGGATTTAAATCTTAAACCAATGAATCAGCCCATGCTAAAACATCTGGTCGATTATCTTTTAGATAATTCTTTGCTATCTATGCAGTCATCATGTGACCTACATCCCACCAACATTGAACAACGTAGCTTATTGTTATGAATAGAAGAACTTTCATTGTTATTTTATTATATTAATCTAAAACCTATAGTTCTAAACTTATATACTCCAATTTTATTATTATAAACATCTTAAATTACCACATCATTTAAATTTAGTTTTTGGCGGCTATAAATTATGATTAAAATTTTATAAATATGTATAATTTATTTAATAATTAACTAATTTAAAATAGCAATATGTTAAAGATAGTTATTTGAAATCAATATCATTTTCGCTTGAATTATTAATCTGATTAATATTTCTTAAAGATTGGTTTGAGTCTCTTATCCTAAACATTTCCATAAAATTATTAAATACCTTTTCTTACATAATAGTAGAATATTGAAAATGTCCTTACAATTATTCCACTCCTTAGATTCTAGCATAGGTTATTTCACAGATCTAAATAATTTTAAAATAAAAAATAATACTTTATCTGAATTGAAGAGTTTCCATTTTTTTCCATGAAACTCTAGAAAAAAGTTAGGAATGAATTTAGAATCCAAAAAATTAATAAAGGCATAACCAACATTACATTTATTCTTTGATATCTGAAAATTTTACAGTAAAATCTATAGGAAGATAAAAAAAATCATATTTATCTTTGTGATTAATATCCATATTGTCTAATAACATAGACTAGGTGTATTTATTTGGAATGTTCCTTATCATTAAGGTAGTTCTCTAATCTGCAGGAATCTAATAGATTGTTTTAAATAATTACTTAATCTAACTAAATTTGATATTATGTAGTTTAAATCTATGGTTCATATCTTCTCTTATTTTTGATTTAGAATTACTAAAAGGAAGTAGGCATAGTTTTATAAAATATATCTTCTTTATTTAATTGTAAAACAGATTAATTTAGTTCATGATTATGAAAAGAAGTAGACAAAGTTTCAGGTAATGTTGAGGTATTGGAACATATGGTTATTGATCTATTCTTAATAATTAACTAATTCTAATTATTTAGATTGGATTGATCATCATTTAACTATAAATTAGATGATATGTTTACTTTAGATTCATCATCTGATTCTGGTTTAAGAATTAATTTGGGTTGTGCATTCGTTTTAGGTCGAACAAACAACCCAAAACATGATGGGTTAATTGTAAAAGAAGTTTTCATATAAAATAATATATATTTAATATATAAAGATTTTAATGAGTAAAGCTTATTTAGCTGTGAAGAATTTTAAGTGGTCTGAGATGGTTAATTTGCTTGCTTATGGTGTGAAACATCCTGACACTCTTTCTTAGACTCAAAGAATTACAAGATTATACAGGTTTAATCTAATGATATTGTTAGAGCAACGATTAGAAGACATTATACAACATAATTAGAAAATTTTAAGGGAGATCATATTAGATTCTATAATGAGATGCAAATAGCTTAATCAGATTTCAATAGATTGTAGGAATTGAACAATAATTATGCAAGTATATAGTCAATCATAAAATTATTAGCTTTAAGTAATGAATAGAAGGTTGAGTTTTAAGAATTGGAGAATAAATGGGTTTCATGGTTAGAGAATAATTATGATGCATTTTTATATGTCGATGAATGTAGACCATATTCTAGCACCTCAACTAGATATATTGTTTATTCTGATAAATAATTGAAATTCGATCCTTTGGGTTTCTATAAACCAAGACCAGTTCATGATGGTAAATTTGATCCACATTTACCTTATTTCAGAGATTATCCATACAATGAGTCTTGGTGGAGTATGAATGAATCATTCCCAACAGGTAACACTCTTTTTAATCTTTCTTAGATTTCGATGATGTACCATCAAATTGATTTATTATATTCCAAATACAAAAACAAAATATAATAATATATATTCATATATATAGATAGATAAGTAATATATTTATACTCTTATATATTAAATAAGTATTAGAAATTAATTTAAATTTTCTATAAATTATTATATTTTGTGATTGATAAACTAAATTATGTTTAATAAAAGAAAGATTTAAAAGAAAGAAGATGTATTAAATGGTATTGAAGTCAATGAATAAGATATTAAAGAATTATAAATTTAAAAAAAAACTAAAGTTGAACAAACAGATAAATAAATTTTATTACCTTTTTAGGAAGAAACTAAATTTAAAGCTGGTTTTATATTATAAAACTCAAATAACTTTGCAGTTGAGAAACTTGCACCAGAAACAAAGCCTTATTAAAATGAAATTGCTGAAACCCTTTAAAGATTAAAATCTATACATTCTATTGATGATATCAAAAAAGGATAAGTTTTACCTCCTAAGAAAAACAATTCTCTTAATACTCCTATTGCAATGCCATCAAATGTTAAGTTTTCTTGTACTTTTGATTTCAATCCTATGTTATGTAAAGATTATCATGATACTGGATATTGTACTTTTGGAGATTCATGCATTTATATTCATGATAGAGGAGACTATAAATCAGGATGGGAATAAGAAAAAGAATATTAAGAACAATAAAAAACTAGAAGAATGGAAAAATATGAAAAAGAAGATCTTGAATTTAAATAAAAACTAGAAGAATATACAATTCCTGAAACTTGTAATATTTGCTAATCATCATTAAATAAACCTATCTAAACTAAATGTAATCATTTCTTTTGTGAAAAATGTATTATTACTTCAAAAAAATGTCCTGAATGTGGAAAAGCTACCGATGGAATTTTTCATTCTGCTGCCAAAATCATTTAAGAATTAAAAAATAAAAGAAATAAATTCATTGCAGAATATAAACCTTCAGAAAATAATACAAAATAAAGATTAAATGAATGTGATTGGATGATTTGATCATTATTATTATAAATATTTAATTAAATCACTTTAATTTCTAAACCTTTATATTTTCATTATCAAATACTGCATCAAACACTTCTTTCAATCCTTCAAAATTAAATGATATATTTAAATATGCAAAAGGAATATTTATATTTACAATTCCTTAAGCAATAAAATTTTCTGCCAAAAGTACAAATAACTATTATCACAGATATAATTACTCTATAAAGAAAATGAGTATCTGATTAAGGATTCTTAATTGATTATAATTAATAATCTCCTTTCATTTCATCTATCAATTATAGTCAATAGATATATAATTTATTATTATATATAGCTGTTGGTTATTCATCAGCTAATTCTTATAAACCTAAAGCATTCAAAAATTAATTCACATCTTCCATAATTATAAATGAAACTTGGAACTCTTAAAAAGCATAGGCCATATAAACTCTGATTATATTTTCTATGATTATTTTGTTGCAGCGATTTTTTAAGCAAATTATTTTCCAAAACTAGCCAAAATAACACCAATTAACTTTTTAGCTAATCACTATTAAAAGCTGCTTTAAATTCAAAAATAAATCCTTCCAATAAATATTTAATAAATATCTAATCTTTTTTCATTAATTTTGTTATTCCATTTTTTATACCAAAAAGAAACTCTATATTAATACTTCCACATCTGTGCCTAATTTTTCACAATATGGTAAGTAAGCTTATTCAAATGTCATATCAATTAATGCATGACTAATATTAATTGCTATAGCTACTGAGTCTTTTCTCTCTTAGAATTCTATATTTAATGAATTTTCAATTTATGGTAGTATTATTTAATCTTACTTTTCTTATAATTTTTATTTAAATTCTTTCCATAGTTATTCTAATTTTTCTTTCGCTTATACAGGTTTTATTGCTCTACAAATAATTATTATTTATAATGATTTTGATTATTAAAATCCAACCTCCTATTAAATATCCTCTAATACTCCTGATCCTTTATATTTCATTTTAATGTTAAATTTGAAATGAGGTTAAAAATCTCCATAATTTATAGCCCAATAATGATGATCTAATTTAGGTTCATATTTCTATTCAAGAGATACTCCAAATCTTGTAAATTCAGAATTTATTGATTTTAACATATTCATTAATTTCAATTTCATAAAAACCAATTTCTCTAATTTTTCATTCTTTCCAAATTACCACCAAATCCAAAACTCTTCAAATGATATTTTCCCATCATTATTACTATCAACTACTTTCATTAACTAATAATCTAATCTGCAAATATACTCTATCAATATCATCTTATGTAATTTCTTCATTCATTTATTTACTTATTTCTATTAATTCATTTGATTCTACATAACCATTACCATCTTTGTCGAATTTCTTAAAAACTTCAAAAAGTTATGTTTTTGTTTAATTAATCATTTTTATTTTATCAGTTTTATTTTTACAGAATTTATTCTCATCACATCATTCAGTAATTTTTATTAAATACAAATATTTATATACTAATAAAAAAAAAATTTTTTTTAAACATACAAATAATATATCAATTTTTCTAACAATCAAGCTCACTATGCCATAAATTTTGCGATATATATAAATACAATAAAATCATTTGTTTAAAATATTACAGTTAAAAGGTAAATTTTGAAATTGTCATTTTATATCAAATACGTTTATCCGCAAGAAGTAAAATTTAATAAAAACCTATGAATTGAGAAGATTGATCTAAATATTGATCTACAAAACGAATTCTTGTGACTTAATTGTTGAAAATTCTTAGAAGATTTCTTTATTTAAAAAAGGGGAAAATTTCATATAGGAAACTGAATTTTAAATTCCACGTGCAAAGTAAATGTTTTTAAATATAACAAGATTTCTTTTGAATAGCTAATCTATGAACTATCAGATAGTACGTCATGGAATATAAACATTTTTATGATTTTAAACACAAGAATCAAATTTAATTGATGGAATGTAAAAGGACATGATGATGGATTAAAGCATGTTCAAAATGTTGAGGGTATAGTTGATAAAATTTAAATAAAGAAAAAAGTGAAAATCAATTTCTTACTTGATTTGACTACATAGTTCCCTCCAAATATGCAAGTTATTATTTTGCATTTTTGATAAAGAGTTCAAGGTTCCAAGCAACACATTTAAGATCTGTTATTTCTTTATTTTATCTTCGATATTCTGATTTTCTATTAAATTAGTCTTCTTCTTCCCATCCATCACATTCAAAAGAAGATTCATCTGGTGAAGTATATTTATATATTTTTTTCTGTTTGTATTTTTTACAACAGCAAGCTTTCTCCTTCTTTTTAATTTTCTTAGCAATCCCTTATGCATTTTATAGTTTTGTATTTGTTAAACTATTTTCTAGATGAGTGTTTAATATTGGAGCTACCTGAGTCATTTAATAAATATTTATAAAAAATTATTAAGTCAAAAACGACAATTGGTTTCATTATCTACCTTAATTTAAACTATCCGTTTCGGAAATCTCCATCTATAAGTACATTAATTTCATAAAATGAGTGTTTTATATTATGTATAGTATTGATATTCCTTGTTATACAATGAAATATTTCTCAAAACTCAATAGAAATACATATTGAAAAACTTTTCTGTTATTTTACTTTCCAATAAATATTTAATATTTTGTAATTTTAATCTCACAATCTTTACAATCTTTTATTAATAACTTTATATAATAATCAAATATTAAGTTCATAAAAATGGAAATCCTCTAAAATTTTCATTACCCTTATTTTATCCAAAATAATTCTAAAAATTGTTCTAGAATTATTGACCTTATTGCTACTATTACTGTGATTATTATTATTAAGAGAGGCTCATAAGTTCTACAAATTCAACAAAAACTTACATTAAATCAAGGCTTGACTATTTTATTATACCATGAAATTAGAATCCATGTGTTGTGGTTATCTTTAAAATTAATTATTGCATTGTTTTTTCATAAAACTGTTATCATATTAAGAAATATCTTATTTGACTATAATATAAGATAAAATATATTTACTTGATTGCAACTACTATTCTTATTACTATTATGTTTTCATAATTTTTTCCAGAAATGAATTATGTTCTTAAATTTATTTTGGATCCTTTTACTATCCAGGCTCTTTTAATTTACTTAAATATAATACTATTTTGATTTAATTGTTAAAGATTTAAAAGATTATTAAACTATTGATCAACATGATTATCTATTTTTTTAAATAATACATTACTTGGCTCTTGTTGTGGAATTTAAGTTTATTGTGGTACTTAGACACCTACAAGTTATTGGACAGTTTATTAGTTTTAAGATTAATTCATGTTAGTAATTAATGTGGCTAATAAGTAAGATAAAGTGTCAATTTTTCTTTCGTCAGTTTCCCGAATTCTTTTGATTTCCTAAGGAAATTATTAAGTTATAATTGATTACTTGCCACAATAATTTATTTTCATTGATCAAATGATCGTTTTAAGTCATTATTAAGATTAATGCTTTTTGTAATTCATGTTACTTTCCTTTAATGCCTAACATTTCATTAAGAAAAAATTAATAATCATTTTTTAGCTTAGACATATCTACTTCCATGGAATTATTGGCTATTATAAATGACAAATAATTTTACAATTCTAACTTGAATTTTAATTTCTATCGTCAAACTACTCAACCTAATCTCCTTATTTTCTCTTAATTTCACATAGTAAATGTCTGTTTATCATAAGAATTAATGATTACTTATTTCCTCTCTAAAAATATTTATGTCTAAATTCATTATCTCCCCCTTCATTTTTCATTTTATGAAAATCATACATATTCAATTATCTTACAAAAGAAGCATAATTATTATGTTTGAAATGGTTAGGCAATACCTATTCTATTTTTAGGTCATAGTACTTTCTCAGCCAATTCATTAACATTTTTTACAACAAATGCAGTACCTTCTTCATTCCAAGATATAATATCATTATAATCAGGATTCTACATTAAAAATATAGATAATATTTGATTACTTCTAGAATGTCGTAAGTTTTAATTAAAAAAGAAGGTGTTGATGCCTTTTATTTAATATTATGTTCTTCTTTTGCTCTATCCATAAAAAATAATTAAATATGATTTTTAGAAATTTCGATAAATCAGGTGATTGTTAGAATTTCTAAGAATAATCTTAATCTAAACTATTACTTTATATGCGTAATTTAGAATGTATTTATTTCTGGATTTATTAAGATCAAAGTAAAAGAAAGAAAATAATTTATTACTAATATATTGCAAATAATTCTTTTGGACAAAAACATAAATTTTTAATAATTTGTGTGTTTTCACATAAACATTCCATAATTTCTAGCATATGCCATAGGTGGTAGTTTAGGATGTTCCTAGAGAATGATAAAATACTAAAAATACCACAGCATCAAATTGAACAAATTTTGGTTTCATTTCACCCCCTTTAAAAATAATAAATGCTCCTTTATTTTTCATTTGATCACAATAATTTGGAGCAGAGAAAATAGTTATAACTCTACCATCTGCTTCTACTTCATATCCTTAATCTTTCATTTCATGTGATCTTACAAGTAAAGCTTAAATAGAGATAAATATTTTTACATAAACCATTTTCATTTAAAAATTTATGAGCAATATCAGGTCCAAAAGAGATAGAAATACCTCTTTTACTAGGATGTCTTCCATTTTATTTAATAGGATCACTCCATAACATATCAGCCATAGGACCACCTTCAGGAATATCTCTAAAACGATTTAATTTTTATAATTCATTAATTGTTACACCATCATTAGAAAATAATCCCTATATTTAAATAAATCATAAAGTATACTCCATGAACTACCATTACTTATTTTGATAAAGTATAAGCTAATGGTAAATAAGTAAAAACAGTTTAGAATAATTCATAAACTTTATCATCATATTTATGTTTAACTTCACCTTCAAATCCATATAATTTGTTCATATTTCTACTTTCATGATTTCCTCTTGTTAAATGCATTATATCTGGATTGCATACTTTCCAAGCAAATAATGTCATTATAACTTCAACACTCCAAGATCCTCTATCTACAAAATCACCATTAAATAAATAAGGTCTCTTTATAGATGGATTACCATTTATTTTAAATATGTTTAACAAATCAAAATATTATCCATGAGTATCTCCACAAACTGTGAATTCAAGATCTCTATTTAAATTTTCATATATTTTTACTTAGGAACATCATATTCAACTACATTTTATTATGATTTCATTATTTCTCCAACCTTTTATAGTATCATTACTGCGTATTTTTTATGTAATTTCTTTTGATCTTTGAAATGGTTCATCAATTTTTCACACCTTATAATAATCTCAACAAATCATACCATTCTGGTGTAACTTCGCTAATATCATTATCAATTCTAGGTCCATCATATCCTTATTCTACACATATATCTTTAATATCTATTGGCTCACTAGCTTCATCTGGTCTTTCTATAGATTTTGCAAATTCTCTCTCAAATATTGCCTATTTTATTTATTTTAGTTTTGCCTAAATATCTTCATCTTTTCCTTAAGTTAGAGAGTCTGCCTATACAAATTTATTATCTATTTTACTTTTTTGAATTCTTTTCTAGCATCATCAAACTTACTCAACAATAAATAAGCCGATCCTTTTCTGTAATAAGCTTTAATAAATCTAGGATCCTCTTTCAAAATCTCGTCTGCATCATTTATAGCCAAACCATAGTTTTCCATTTTTATATGAGCAAATGCTCTATTTGATAAACAAAGAAGTCGTTGATTACCTATAAATAAGTTATGAATCAATTATTACCAGTACCAATCTCTATACCAGCAGTGTAGAATTCTATTGCTTTTTAGAAATTACTCAATTTAAATTATTCATTTCCTTATTCTTTAAATTTTTCAGCTGAATCAGGTGAATTTAGAATCATTTATTCTAATCTATAATTAAATGAGAAATATTTAATAAATATGCATTGAAATAATCTTTTATTAAATCCATCACATAATTTTAAATCCGAATTTCTGGATCTTATTTATAATATTACAATAATATAATAGAAAAAAAGATTATTTTAATATTTAAAATAAAAAAAAAGATGTTGTCATTTATTTTTGATTTACTATTTATTAATATGTTTTCTATAATCTAATGTATCCTATTTTTTGAAAAGACTATTCAGGAGAAAGTAAAAAACATTTATTATAAATTAAATATTTGAATGAATATTTATTCTTCCAGTCAACAAGATTAGATAGCATCACCTGATAATTTAAGTTAAATAAGTTGGAATAAAGTACATTAAAGCAGTGAATAGATTTTAGAAAGGTAGATCATATCAAATTATATATAATAAGGTCTAAAAAAATACAAAAAAGACAACCCTAAGACTTTTAATAGAAATGGTTTTCAATTTAGAAAATATCAAGTTCCAAATTAGATATTTCTGAATAGAATGATATCGATTTAAGAGATTAGAAAATTTATGAATTTGATTATCTAAAATTAGATAAAGATCTGTTGTCCAAAAAATGTCCAATTATTGTAAATATTTTAATATATGAATAGATTGAAGATAAAAAGTCAAAAAAAAAATACTAAATTAAACCAATTTCAATTAAATCTGACATTGTAGAAGTAAATATTTAAGCTGTAAATATTTTTAGAAATTATTTTCATTAAATAATAAATTTATACTTACCCCTGAAAATATTTTCACATATTCAGCACAGACACAAAAAATTGATGATTTGGCTAAAGAAATAAGTATAGATTTAAGTTCTATAGAGAATTTGTCCACATTACTTTCTAATTAGTATTGTTTTAATATTGTTGTAAAACAATTCTCCATTTCTTAGATGAATTGACTAACAAACAAATTAAAACAATATTTTTAGATCTAATTTAAGGATTGACATCTGCTTAGGATAATTAATTAGTCTTAAAATAAATAACATTAGATTCTATTTTATATTTTGAAGAGTCTTAATCTTTTAAATTGAATGATTATACTGAAGCTACAATAGGAAATAATAAGATTAATTTTAAAGATTTAGGATTTTGTCTAGCTTAAATCTTATAGATTAAATATTAATAATAAAATCCTAAGAAAAAGTCTTAATCAATCAATGCAATTGAATGGTTAAAGATGTAAATTGAAGATCCTCTCTCTTCTGTAGCCTTGCATTTGATATTGAATGAAAAGTCAAGTGAAGAAATAATGAGTTTATTGTAAAAGATTGATTGTTGATCCTCTAGATAAAATAAAGGGATATCTCATATCTCAAATTATATATATAATTAAAAATATGTTTATTTTAACATAATTTCTAATTGTAATTTCTTAGGAAATCACTTGGACTAATTATTCTTTTGCATTTCCACAATTTATACCATTAATTGCAGATAAAACTGTATTTTCAAGAACATTTGAAGAATTCGGATAGATTTTGTATTGATAATATATAACTCATATAGAAACATTTCAATAGAATATAATGGGGATTTTTAAGAATCTATTTGCAATTTTGAATACTAATCTATAGTATTTCGGCAATAGCCATAGACTTTAATTGCTTTAGTAAGTGATATGCAATAGATTGATATTGATAATTTGAAAACAGAAGAAATTGAATAAGGATTTTCAGAAGAATTAATTTCATATGCCATAATAGATAGGGATGTGATTCTATTAGAGAAAAATGGAGTAGTTCATCATTTATATTATAATTGGGGTCCTAAATTTACAAATTATACAATTCATTAATTATCAATAATTTAAGATGGAAATGAAAATTAATAAATTTTAGCAGGTAATGATTCTTATTATTATGTTGATAATAACTAATTTATAAAATTCATTATAAAAAATGGTAGTTTAGAATAAAATAAAATTCTTAATTGGAAAAAAGTAAATGATCATTTCAAACTTTTTGTTAGAGAAGAACATTTTTATTTGATAAATGGGATTCATGGTATAAAAGTTTATAAAGTGTAAAATAATATATTGTTATAAGTGAATAGTTTTGTTATTGAAGTAAATAAAATATTTAATTTAGGACTTTTAACGAGATTTCAATGATGTAAATTTAAATTTAGTTGATTATGCAGTAGAAGATGATTGGTTATATTTATTAGATTTAGAAAATGGAGTATATCGTATAAATTTAATATCTATGAATATTGATAGAAAATTCTTTATTGCTTAGAAGGGCTGTAAAGTGATATCAATACGAAATAAATAGATCATATTGATTTAATAAAATCAATTATTTTCAGTAATTTATGAAGGAAGAATAATAGATGATGGTTGGATGCTAATTAGAATGAGAACAACAGCAAAATAAATAATTAGAAACACATATTAATTTAATAGTTATGCATTACTAATTAGCAATCCAATAAATAATATGTATTAGAAAGGTCTAATAGATAAATTTACGGATTCTTAACTTACTAAAGGGTAATAAATTAAGGAATTAATATAGTGAAAATATATATTAAATGGAATTATTGGGAGTGTAAGAGATGGATAAAACATATGCAATCGGTATTTATAAATATGGTGTAGCAATTTATTTTGCATATGAAATACCAGCCAAAATAATATGTTAAGGCAAATTAAGTTAATAGAATAGAGTTACTGTAAATATTAAATATATTTATTAGATTCGTCTTAATAGTACAAATTGTCTAAATAAAAATTAGTCTGATTTTTTAAATTATTGTTAGAATAGACTTGATTATGTATTTGATATTCATGGAGTATTAATGTCTCCACATTAAGAAGATTTATATATTTATTTATGCATAGTTGCTTTTTCAATAGTTGTTGGATTATTTTTAGCAATATTTTTTATAATAAGAAGATATTAAATGAAAAAAGAGAAAATAGATTAGTTAAGAAAGAGTAGAAGAAGTTTATCATATTGAAATTAAACATAAAATTCTAGATTTAATTTAAATTTATTTGGTTGTACTTTTTAAATATGATTATTATTATAAGTAAATAAATAAATAATTAAAATAATGCAAACTGGTACAAGTCAAGGTTAAAGCTCTTAAGATTGGAAAACAAAAAAAGTAGATAATTTTGTTGTAGTTAATAAGAAATTAGGAAAAGGATAATTTGGAACAGTTTATCGTGGTCATTATAAGGATGACTAGACAAAACAGGTAGCTATAAAGACAATTCCAATGCATGTTAAAATTTATTTAATATTTTTTATTAGGTTGTATAGAATAGTGAATCATTATAGTAACATATAAAAAGAGAGATTGCTATTCTAACAAAAATAGATCATCCAAATATTGTTAAGTTAATTCATGTTACAAAGACTAGCTCTAATTTATATATGATTTTAGAGTTTTGTAAAGATGGAGACTTAGCTGAATATTTAAATAAGAAATTAGATAAAAGATTATCTGAATTAGAAGCAGTCATTTTCTTTAAACATGTTATAAAGGGATTTGAAATATTACATTAAGAAAAAGTAATTCATAGAGATATAAAACCATCAAATATATTATTAAATGATGGAGTTGCTAAAATTGCAGATTTTGGGTTTGCAAGAATTATTGAATCAGAAATTGATAAAATGAATTTAAGTAGAGTAGGTTCACCTATTTATATGGCACCTTAAATTTTAGAAGGTACTCATTTTACTTCTAAATGTGATATATGGTCTATTGGTGTTATGTTTTATGAATTATTATATGGAGTAACTCCATGGATGGCTAATGGATAATGTGAATTATTAGAAAAAATTACTACTTAATCTTTATAATTTCCAGAAATACCTGTTAGAAGTCAAAAAGTTAAAAATTTATTAAAAAGAATGTTAACTGTTAATGAAGCAGATCGAATTAGTTGGGAAGATTTATTTACAAATGAAATTATTGTCATTGATGAAAATTAAATTCATTATAATATGTAATAGATGGAAAAAGAAAAAGATAGACTTATGAGATCTATTAGTCTAAATAAAATCTATATTAATCAAAATTTAATTCTTGGATACATGAAAGATATTAATAAAATTGATGAAGAATAATCTGAAAATTAAACCAATACTTAATAACCTATTTATAATGATATTTTTTAGTAATATAATGCAGAATCTGAAGAATCAAAAACTATCTAAAAATTAAATACTATTTGTAAATATGAAAGAAATTTAGCATTCTTTTACAGTTTTCTTATACAAGGACTTTTTGCTATGTTATAACAAAATATTATGCCTATATCTATTGAATTATGCTTTCAATTAATTTTTTGTATCTCTAAAAATCAACTCATCAAAATGGAAGAACTCTATAGAGAAATTACTAAATCTCAAAATCCAGAATATGAAATCTATATGCGATCTCATGAATTCAAATAAATGTGTAAACATCTACAAATGGATATCGATTAAGCTATGAAATTCTTTGTTGAAATTTTAAGAAAATGTTTAAGTCTATAAAATTAAGCCAAATAAATCGTTCTTAACGAATAAACCAAAGAATTCTATTAATAATATTTAAGCATTTTAGATAATAGTTTGACTTTAACTGATTAATTCTAATCAGTCTATTATGGCACTGTTAAACTCGTATTAGATAAACTAACCTAAGATACTGTAGAATTAATGAAACTTAAATTTTATTTAAATATTTGTTTGAATCCTAAAACCATATTTACTGATTATAATTATGATTTCAGTAGATTTTATGAAGAAATTCAATATGCAACAGCAGAAGATTGGAAAAAAGCTTTAAAAAAGTTCAATTGAATGAAACATATAAATATTCGATTTTCAAATAGTATTAATTATATATATATATGTACTAATCTAATTATAAGTAACCATGACATATCTTTTTCAATCAACTTTTTGTCAACAATCTCTTTCTACATAATTTAATTCCTACTTCTACTATAAACATCTAATAAAAATAAATATACCTATAATTGTTGCACTCTTTTTATATGTTTTTACCTACATATATTTCTTAAATATTTTATTTAAATTATTTCTCAAGACATAGATATTAAGCTATAACATTCTTTTAATTAAATAATAATTTTTTATGACAAAATTGTCCAGTAATAATACTGATTATTAAAGCAAAACAACTGATAAACACAACCAAAAATAATGTAACCTAAAAAATATGATTGCCCCATTATTTTTATTCAATATAACTTCTATAAAAACATCTTTTTCTTCGAATTTTTTTCAAAAGGAATAGCTTCTTCTAAGGATAACTTGACTTATAATATTTTCTTTGTTATTTTGAAAATACTTTCTTTGAACTTTCTTTGTAGGATTTACCTTTCAGCAAAAAATATTTATTAATCATTTAAGATTTTAGGAAATTAAATTTAAAAATAAAATTTTTACAGTTATTTTTTATTAAGATTTATATTCTTTGATTTCTAATAAAATTATTATAGATTCATTAGATCAAATGATTATTCTATTTCATATTTAAATAGATTCTTAAGAAATTAATATTTTATTATTAATTCAATTGCTAATTCATATATCTAATCTCCAATAACTTTGTCTCTAAATTTTTACTCATGATATCTCTCTTAATATCCAACTTTCCATATTTATCAATTTTCTAGCATTCTCTTGTAATAATTAAATTACATTGGCATTTTAGATAAGTCTAATTTTTATAATCTATATGAGTACATTTTTAACCTTAAATAATAATCTATAATCTCGAAGTAAATGTATTATAAATTGATATTTATTGATGCTTTGAATAAGATTCTATATTTAGTGTTTTATAAATTCCCAGCTAAGATATCATTAGATAATTTATTTAGACTAAATATAAATATTAAGTTGTGAGTATTACCTTCACAAAAGTTATTTAAGCATCTAAAATAATTCTGTATTAGAAATATCTATTTCTGTGCAAAATTGAGTTAATTATGAAGGATAAATATAATGAAAATAATTGGTAGTAAAATATAAAACTTTTTCTATTAAAGAAAATAAATTTACAGAATCTCCAAAATGTGAAGTAGGATCTAAATATTAGATTAATTTTCCTTTGAGTATTAATATGGAAAAAATAATCATGAGGATATATGTTCACTTTTAATTCTTTTTGTCCTTTAAGTCTTGTAATTTGTGTATATTTGATAGTTTTGAAATAATTAAATTGGTTTATAGTGGTAATAACACAAGATGTTTTGATATATAATGTTATAATTATGCCAAATATACTCGATATTTTCAATATTATAATGTATTTTCAATAAGATAGAATGTTTGTATTATATTCTTTAATTTTAATTTTATTAAAGCTGATGGTTCAGAGAGAGAATCCTCGATATGTAAATTAACCATTTAATTTAAATAATTTATGAAATATATTCATTTTTTGAAATATTCTATTTATGATTCTAAATCTCCTCAATACTAATTATTATAAAATGAGTACATCAAATTAAATATTTGATGTATTTACCTAAGGAAATATTTCTAATATTCTGTATAATCATAAATAATTCTCTTTTATTCATTTAATTATTAAACTTAATATAAAGCAGCATTAAGTAAATTAGACAAATCAGGTGTTGTAGCTTATAAACTTTTTTCTTTTCTTCAGTATCTTGAAATACTTTTGTTATCTTCTTCAGTGTTGGATTAACATAATTTCTATAATCCATCTAAATATTTTGTACAAGCCAATAGATCATTCAAAAGCAATATTAAAAGTTCTCTCACCTCTTACATATTCAATGTATAAATTTATTATTTGATTGATTTATCTTTAATTATATAAGATATTGCAAGATTATTAATTATTTAATTAATTGTTTTCTGTAAATAATATACTTTATATCTATGAATTCCTAAAGTATAATCTTGAATAACTTAAATTGATCAAGCGAGTATTATTAGAAATCTAATTCTCAATAATTTAATTCTTCTCCTATTATTATCTCATGATATTTTGAACTCATTCAACAAAAATTACTAATTTTGAGGATCTCATTTTTGTTTATAAAAATGTTAGTTAAATCTATTTTGTTTTTTTTTAAATAATCTCTTTATTATGTTTATCCATTCTTATTTCCTAATTTTATTGACTTGAAGCTTATATAAGTAGAGTAGGTCTATTTAATTCATTCTAATGAAGAGTATTTTATTTTAATTTTCTTAAGCCATTTTTTTTAAGATTTCATTTTTAATATGCTCCATTCCCTTCTTACATTTTTGGATTACTACAAAAGTAAGACTTATATTATAAAACTGTTTTAATTATAAATATTTAAAATATATAATTCTATGCATCAGAAAAATAATCAAATTGAATTAATCTATATATCTCTAGCTAATCAAAAAGAACTGTTTTGATTGAAAAAATCAATTTTGTTAAATATATTTACTAGTTTAAATTTCAGGAATTTAGAAAAAACTTAAAAATAGGAATTTGAGATTAATTCCAAAATAGGTTTTTAAGATCAACTCAAATAAATATTTTTGAATATCTAATATAAAATTTTGTTATAATTTATGCTCTTATTGCTTTCTCTAAGGAGTAAAGTATCAATTTTGTAAATTTTGTAAATTTTGTAAATTATGATTTTGGAATCAATTATCCACAAATTTCAAATCTTGAAATTAGTTGATCTCTTTATATTTTAAGGATACCCTTAATGTGTTAGTTTATAAAATGATGAAGATTTAGTTTAAATATAATTGATATATATGTTTAGTTAAAAGTAGAGAGGAATATTGAGTTAAAAGGATTGATAAAATATGGAAGAAGATGATGAAAATGTAATATGATTAAGAAAATGTTAGTATGAAAATGAGTAAGGAGTTTTGATGTAATGGATTGAGGATTTGAAAATAATTTTCTTTAATAAAATTTGTGGAATCACTATAGATAGTGTTATTTTTAATCATAAATAAAATTAATTATCAGAATTTCTTTAATTAATAGTATAAAGCTTTTTAGGAATTTCATTTTTTCATCAAAAATATAAATAAATGAAAACAGATGGTTCTGGTGAAAATTAGGCTCTAACAAATGGAAATGGATCAAATACATAACCATAACAAGAACCAATGGTTCCATATTTTGAACTTCTTAGGTATGCAAGCCCAAAAGATAAAGTACTAATGTTCTTAGGTGGGTTTGCAGCATTTTGTAATGGAGCAGCATTTCCAAGTTTTTCAATAATATTTGGAGACATGACTGATTCATTTTCTGAAGCAGGAGATGAAATGGTTCGATAAGCAGGTTTGAATGCAATGTAAGAATATAAAAATGAATATAGATATTTCATTATTGTGGCAGTAGGTACAATGCTTATGTCATTTATAATGTTTGCAACTTGGATGATAACAGGAGAGAATTAAAGTATAGAATTTAGAAAGAGATACTTCGAAGCTATATTAAAATAGGAAATAGGATGGTTCGATACAATTAATCCTAATGAATTAAATAGTAAAGTAGCGAATGAAACATTTGCAGTATAAGGAGCAATAGGAGAGAAAGTTCCAACATTTATAATGACATTTTCTATGTCTTTCTTTGGATTCTTAATTGGCTATATTTAGTAAAAATAATAATAAATATTTTAGTGGTTGGTAATTAGCTTTAGTAGTAACAGCTACTTTACCAGCAATTTCAATAGCAACAGCAATATTTGCAATAATAATTTAAACATCTGAGAATGCAACATAAAAAGCATATTCTGATGCAGGAGCATTAGCAGAATAAGCAATTAATGCAATAAAGACAGTAAAGATGTTAGATGGTGAAGATTTTGAAGTTGAGAAATATAAAAAATATCTTCTTTAAGCAACAGCTACAACAATTAGTTATTAATTTGGAGTAGGAATAGCATTTGGATTTTTATGGGCAGCAATGTTATGGGCATATGCACTTGGTTTTTGGTATGGAGCTAAATTAATTTCTGATTAAGTAATAAATAATATTTATATAGACTTTAAATCATAATATGGATTAAGTATATACAGTTGGAGATGTAATGATTATCTTTTTTGCTATTCTCACAGGTGGATTCTCTTTAGGTTAAGCAGGTCCTTGTGTATAGAATTTTGCTAAAGGTAGATAAGCAGCTGTTAAAATGTTTGCTATTTTAGATAGAACTCCAAAAATAGTTAATCCTATGAAACCATTAAAATTGACTTCATTTAATGGAAGAATATTATTAAAGAATATTGAATTTAGTTATCCTAATAGACCTGATCAAAAGATTTTAAAAGGATTAAATTTAGATATACCAGCAGGTAAAAAAGTAGCTTTAGTTGGTGAAAGTGGTTGTGGTAAATCTACAGTAATGTAATTAATTGAAAGGTTTTATGATTCAGAAAAAGGAGAAGTATTATTTGGTGGAGAAGGAGGAATCAATGTAAAGGATTTAGATTTAATTGATTTAAGAAGTAGAATTGGTCTAGTAGGATAAGAACCAGTACTATTTGCTACAAGTATTAAAGAAAATCTATTGTATGGTAAAACAGATGCAACAGAATCTGAAATGATAGATGCATTAAAGAAAGCAAATGCTTGGGATTTTGTTTCTAAAATGGATAAAGGTTTAGAAACTTATGTAGGAATAGGAGGTGGATAATTAAGTGGTGGATAAAAATAAAGAATTGCTATTGCAAGAGCTATTTTAAAAAGACCATAAATACTATTATTAGATGAAGCTACTAGTGCTTTAGATAGAACTAATGAAAGATTAATTTAAGAAACTTTAGATGAAGTATCTAAAGGAATTACTACTATTGTTATTGCTCATAGATTAAGCACTATATAAAATGCTGATTTAATTTATGTTATTGACAAAGGAGTTGTTGTTGAAATTGGAACACATTAAGAATTGATGAATTTACATGGCAAATATGAAATCTTAGCTAAAAATTAAATTTAAGCATAAAATCAAGAAAATGATTCTGGATCTTAAAGTTCAGGATCTTAGAAGAATCTTTAAGATTAATAAGTAGGTTCTTAAAGATCTCTCAAAATTAAAATGAATATGGTTGATCAATAAAATATAGCACTTGCTGTTAAAGAAGAAATTGATAGATTCAAATAATTAGAAGTACCAGAATTAGTCAAAAAAGTTTCAGGATAAGGACATCATCATCATCATCATCATAAAAAAAATGAAACTGATTTAGAAGCATAACCTTTACCAAAAAAAGATGAACCAAAAAAAGAGGTCGATGCTTAAATGGGTAGACTATTTACTTATAATTCTGATGAAAAACCTTAATTCTTTATTGGTATTATTGCAGCCTTAGCAAATGGATGCACATTCCCAGTATTCTCATTATTCTTAGCTGAAATGATTACTGTCTTAGTTGAATCTAATCCTTCCTTTGCTGATTATAAATGTTCAATGACATATAACAATCCAACACCATAAATGTGTTAACTCTTAAAAGATGATCTTAAAGATGAAGTTAAAAACAAAGCTGATAGACTTGCTCTTTGGTTCTTCTTGATTGGACTTGCTGCTTAAATTCTATGGACATTCCAAATGTATTTCCTTGCATATGTTGGAGAAAAATTAACTTGTAAAATTAGATTAGATACATACAGAAAATTATTAAGAATGCCTATCCCTTATTTTGATATTCCCAAAAATAATGCAGGTACTTTGACAAGCAGACTATCCGTGGATTGTAAATTGATTAATGGGCTAACATCATCAATTTTAGGTATTAATATATCAAATGTTGGTGCATTGATTTGTGGTTTGGTTATTTCATTTGTTGCAAGTTGGTAAATGACATTAATTATGCTTGGATTGGCACCATTATCGTATGTTGGAGGAATATTATAAGCAAAATTTTTGTAAGGATTTTCAGATTTAACAGATGAGGCATATAAAGATTCAGGTAATTTGATAATGGAAGCAGTGACAAATATAAGAACAGTTGTATCATTTGGAAATGAATAGATAATTCTTGGAATATATTCAAAGAAGGTTTAACTTCCATTAATGAAAGCAAAAGAAAGAGGGATTTATGCTGGTTTGGCATTTGGTTTTTCATAAATGCAAATGTTTATAATAAATGCAATAGTATTTTATGTAGGAGCAATTCTTTGTAGAGATGAAGTAATTACTATAGAAGGTATGTTTAAATCAATTCTTGCAATAACATTTGCAACAATGAGTGCAGGAAATAATGCAGCATTTGCAGGTGATATAGGAGCTGCTAAGAATGCAAGCAGAAACATTTTTGAAATATTAGATAGTGAAGATGAATTTTAAAGAGAAGAGAGATTAAAAAAATAAAAGATTACAAAACCAGTTCAAGGAGATATTCATTTTAATAATTTGACTTTTAAATATGTAGGAAGAGATAAGAATGTATTTTAAAATTTAAGTTTGAGTGTTAAGTAAGGATAGAAAGTAGCATTTGTTGGTCCATCTGGTTGTGGTAAATCTACTTTGATGTAAATGTTAATGAGATTTTATGAACCAGATTAAGGAGTGATAACAATAAATGGTATAGATATTACAGATTATGATATCAGATATATTCGAAGACAATTTGGTATAGTATCATAAGAACCAGTTTTGTTTAATGGTTCAATAAGAGAGAATATTTAATATAATCTACCTTCTATTACTATAGAGCAAATAGAAAATGCAGCTAAGAAAGCGAATGCTTATGATTTTATAGTCAAAAACTAATTTGAAGAAACCTAAGTTGAATAAAAGGGAAATGAAAAATAAAGAGGATAAGGATTCGAAAGATAAGTTGGACCTAAAGGAGCATAAATCTCAGGTGGATAAAAATAAAGAATTGCAATAGCTAGAGCTATTCTTAGAGATTCAAATCTTTTATTACTTGATGAAGCAACTAGCGCTTTAGATGCTGCTAGTGAATAATTAGTATAGGATAGTTTAAATAAACTTATGGAATCAAAAACTACTGTTGCTATTGCTCATAGAATTTCAACTATCAAAGTATTTAATTATTTAAATTTATTAGGATTCTGATGTTATATATGTCTTCGAAGATGGTAAAATCGTTGAAGAAGGTAATTACTAAAAATTAGTTGGTCTCAAAGGTGCATTCTACAGATTAGAATAAGGAATTGCTAAATGATTTAAATTTTTATATTGTTATTTAAAGTTATTTTTAATATAAACAAAATTAATATCTTATTTAGAATATCAAAATATTTATAAAAATAAATTTATCTTAACTAATTAAAATATAAATAATCTTAAACTAGAATACAAAAAAGTAAATAATTTTCATTTCATAAAAACTTCAACAACCATTTCTTCAGTCAACTCTTCAAATAAATAATCTGCAATTTCCATAAGCACTTCCGAATATTCCTAAGTAATCTTAAACCATTTTCTTTCATCTTCTTATAACTAATTATATTATTATATTTTATATACTTCAATTGAAAGACAATTCTATATTCTCTCCTCATTAATATAAGCCAATGAATCATTTGCTTAACATTCTTACATAATAATTAATTGTTCATAATTTAATTATCTCACAGAAATTACAGGTATCTCATCAGATAATAATCCTAATCTTAAATAATCATTTCATACCACATAAAGTCTTTGACCACTCAAATACTCTTTATCTAGCTCTTTCCAATATATTTGGAATATCTTCTAATCTATAACATAATCTCTAAGATATATTAGTCTCCATACACCATGGATATGGAATTCCATCATCTTAATAAAAGGGTCTCAAACTATTCAGAGCTTCATTGAAAGATTCAAATATGGCGTAGTTGTGAATTTTTTCATACTAATTTTGAGTTTCCATAATTTGTTCTATGATAGATTTCTTTTATAACTTATTTAGTAAAGTGGTTAAATTTCTTGATGATCTTCGAAATCATCCTAATTATGTAATTATTTCAATCTGTTTATTGGCTTTCTACCATATGGAGTGTTCATACACTTCAGAAATTCATCTTAATTATTTTCTATTTCTTTATAATAATATAAATACCTAATATTGCATAAAATATCAAATTTATAAAATTATTTATTACTCCCAAATTTGTCAGAATTCCTGCATTAGTTTATTATGCATATTATTAAATTAATTCTATTTTATTTAAACTTTTAGATGCCTCATCTACTAATTACTCAATTATCTTCTCTGTCTCTTCTTCAACTCTCAATGCATAATTTAATCCATGAATTACTACCTATGGCTCACGATAATCTGTTATTATTTGTTTTGATTCATTATTAGGAGATACTTGTAATGGTCTTGCTATTTAATTTCCAAAAAATAATTCTTCATTAAATGTTGATATTTCAAAATCTTTTCTTTTTGGATCTTACTAAAATGGTTTTGAAAATTAATTCTACTTTGATTATGATGATATCGATTGTTATTAACCAATCTTTATTTCATTTCTATCATTTATCTAATTCTAAAATTTTGTATTTGGTGTTACTATTTTTGGAGAATTTGGAATACTAAATTAAAGATCAGATTAATCTAAGAAACTCTCATCTTTTATTTCAGATTAATCAAATGAAATTTATTCTAACTATTAAAGTGTTAATACATACATAACTATGATAACACTAACATCTAATCCTTTTTTAAATCTTTTACTATTATAACATCCTACTCAGTCTTTTTTAATAATGTATTTGATTATTTTTAAACCTTCTATAATTCACATTTAAATCTCTATAATTAATCCGCTTACTTTGATAACCAAGATTAAACTAATTATTTATTGTGATGAAATGATCTAGGTGATATCTTCTATTATTGTAACAAAGTCTAAAATGCTTACATTTAACTATTTACTCTTAACTTTATACTCTAATTAATATTATTATGATTCTTTACTTTCTCTCTCTGTTAACATATTTCCTCTATTTAAGAATTTGTTAAAAACTCTTTTTTTAAAATTAAACTACTATTTGATATAGGTGATGAAGCAAGTGATTTCTTTGGAAATTCTTCTAATGCCATCTTCAAATGAGTTTCTATTATATTATTCTTTTAATTTGATTAATTTTGTGCTTTTTAATTTTCTATACCTTAATTCAAATCAGAAATTGATGTTTGCAATTCTTCATCCTTTCTTTCAACCCTAATCTATTTTAATATTTGCTAAAACTATTATATCTAATCTTCAGATAAATTCTTCAATTCATGAAAAATATTCATCAATACACTATTATCTTTTTCATCTGATCTTTATATTGATAATGTATGACGTCTAACTGAACTGGGCTTTGAATCATCTTTTGCTTAATCTTCAAGACTTTTCATTTAAGGAACCTACATATTTCATATATATAATACATCAATCTTATAATCTCTTATTTATATTGGAGATTCAGCTGTTCTTATTTAAGTTCTCACTTTTTTTTCCTGCTTGTTTGACTTGTCTCTTAATAAATTCTTTAATCTTAAAGTATGAATCTCTGATACTTTGCTTGGACTTGGATTCGTAATAGATTATTGTTATTATTATTGATATTAAAACTATTGCTTCGATTTACTTTTTCCTTTCTTTTTGCTTAAAGTTCTTACTTATCGTAATAAACTTGGTGAATAATCAATATTTCTCATTTAAAATTTATCTTATATTGGACTAAATTAAGATGTAATTTATTCATTATAATGATGAATTGCTTGCTCTCTTGATCTAGATTTATGTTTCTTTTTAAAAGAAGTAGATTCTTTCTCAGGAGATTTTGATTTTGATTTTGACTTTGATTTAGATTTAGACTTTGATACAGTTCTACTTAAACTAGTTTTTGATGAAACTATTTTTTTCAAAATTTCATTAAGCAATGGTTTTTATAGATTTTATTATGGTGTTTATTATTATTTCTATTTTGCTCTCTACTTCTATGGTGATCGCGATGAATTTTTTGTTTTTTATAAACCAGCTGATGGAATGAGATTTTTCTTTTTCTCAGGATTTTTTTTTAAAGTTTTATCTTAAGAAATATCATCTTTCTTCTTAATATTTTACAAAGATTAACTATTCATTTAATTACTAAAATGACTTTTTTCTGCTTTTTTTGTTATCTTTAATGTGTTGCTCTAAGTGTTTTTTTGCTTTGTTTTATTTGCCTATTTTATTTATTTCTATTCATAAGGTATGTATGATTATTTCAAAAAAATATTTTCAAAAACATCTGGCGATTAATTACTTTGTTATACTCCTTGATTAGCTTAAGGTACATCTAGACTGCTGTATCTATTAAAATTAGCAAACACTTGACTGTTCTCAAATCTATCTGTTGGTGATGCCAAATTATTGTCTGTAAACAAACATGATGATCTTAATGATTTCACTTCTGTGGGATTCTTTGTCATTGTAATTTTTTAAGCTGATGTAGAGTTTATTATGTTATTATTTAAAGCCTTTAGTCTGCCTTAAAGTTTTTGAATATTTTTCTCCAAAGCATTTGAGTAATTTTAACGCAATTATTTGAAATCGTTAAATTCATTCATTTGATTTATTAATAAATGAATTCTAATCTAATATTAAAAAAACTCAACATAAAGTTTTGATTATTCTTGTCCTTCTAATAGCCCATTTTACTTTTTTCCCAAACTGATTTATACTAACAACCAACAATAATGTGATTAATTTGTAAACATACTTTAAAAACTGAACTCATTTATATTTATGCAATATTTTTTATTTATTATTTTTATCCTGGTCAAGAATGTGATAATAAGAATTATTTTTCACAAAATAGCTTTTAATAATAGAATAATTGTAAAAATTAATATATAATATATATAGTGATTCATTAATTAATTGTGGTGATTCATTAACATTATATTATAAATAATATTGGAGAATTTAAAAATAAAATCACATTTGAAAATAATATTATTTTTAAAAAAAATGGATAATCTTTAAAAGTAAAATTGTGAAGAAAATTAATGTTGTGAAAAATAAACTTGTTGTCAAGAAGAGCAAGCTTAATAAGAAAAGTAATGTTGTGAAAAATAAACTTGCTGTGAAGAGGAGTAAGTTAAATAAGAAAATCAATGTTGTGAAAAATAAACTTGTTGCCAAGTAGAGTAAGTTTAATAATAATGTACAACAAACTGTTGTGAATCTGATGAGTAAATAAAAAATACAGTGAAATAAAGATATGGTGAAATTTGTGAACAAACTAAACAGATAAATGCAGCCTCTTTTTGTGGAGTTGGAGGATGCTGTAGTTCAACAGGTTGCGGAACTATAGATTATGCTGTATTTGCAGAAAATTATGAAAAATTATAAGGATATGTTCCAGAAGCAGATTTAGGTTTAGGATGTGGAATTCCAACTGAATTTGCTGAAATCAAGAAAGGAGACATCGTTCTTGATTTAGGATCAGGAGCTGGAAATGATTGTTTTATTGCAAGAGCTTTAGTTGGAGATACTGGAAAAGTCATTGGAGTTGATATGACTCCTAATATGATTAGAAAAGCTTAATTAAATTCCGATAAATACAATTTTAGAAATGTTGAATTTAGATATGGAGATATATCAGATTTACCTATCTTAGATAATTTTGTTGATGTTGTTATAAGCAATTGTGTTATTAATCTAGTACCTGATAAAAGAAAAGTATTCTAAGAAATTTTAAGAGTCTTAAAACCAAATGGTCATTTTTCTATAAGTGATGTTCTAACAACTGGAGATTTACCACAATCCATTAGAAAAGCTTCAGAATTACATGTTGGTTGTGTTTCAGGTGCACTTAGAAAAGATGTTTAAATAAAATTGCTAGAAGAATTAGGATATGTCGATATATAGATTAAGAAAGAAAAAACTATTGATTTTCCTGATGAATTGATGTTAAAATATGTTTCATAAGAAGAATTAAAAGAATTTTAAGATAGTGGAATCAAAATTATAAGTGCAACCATTTATGCCAAAAAATAGTGATTCAATAGAATGCATTCAAATAATATATCATTTATTAATTTTATTTTTATATTTATAACAAAATTCATAAAATTCTATTCTACGCTTAATAAAATTATAAACCTAATTCAGTTGTAAATTTAAAATATAATAATATAAATATTTAATTTTAATAGTTATGTATAAATTAGTTTATTATTATTGGATATTTAAACAAACCCGTCTCTTTGCTTAATATGGCTTTCCTAAATTGTATTTGGCGTGTTACAAATAATGATAGGAATTTTAAATACTGCTATTTTATTTGATTTAAGTAATAAATTATCAGGATGAGCTACATTTATACTTTATTAATTAATAGAATAGTATATTTCTTTAAAGTATTTGCAACTATAGCAACTGTTATTTTTTGATCAAATCATGCAATCAAAATGTTTAGCAAAATCACGTTTGATACTATAATAAAGCATGGAAATAAAATATAGGGCATAATTATTTATTATGATTCAAATACTGGTAAAACATTGGCATCCCAATCTAAAAATACATTAGATAATTACCATCTAAAGTAAGTAATTAAACAAATGTATAAAAGGATTATTAAAGTGAAATGTAATATATTTCTCCTTTGAATCCAATAAAGGAACTATAAAATCGACTTGTATAAACTGCAGTCAATAAGATTAATACCAATAGTACTGTTATAATAGGAAATACAATAGGAAATATTAAAATAGTTCCTGAAAATATTCCTCTTACAATAGGGTAGTTGCTATTATTAAAATATCATCCAGACCATCAAACATTTTACCCATATTATTAAAAATTATTATTATAAATATAAAATATCACACTTACTATGCTAAAAATCATTACAATTTACTAATAAAGTTATCCTAATATCAAATTACAAATATGTGTGTTGTCCTATAGTTTTTTATTAATTTATCTTTCTTTGATTTCATATTCATCTAAGAAATTAACTTAAACCAATATTGATATTTTCGTATTGTGTCTCCATATTTAAATTATAAATAAACTAATGTTCATCGAATCCACTATTATTTATTTATCCTCAAGTTAAAATATTCCAATAAAATAAAGCAAAAATAACTTTTTCTTAATAGTGCTACTTTTTAATTAAAACTTCGTCTATTGATAAGATTCTCTTGTTTCAATTTTGCTATTTCTTATCTACATCGATATTTAAAGCATAAAGGGATGAACAAAACAATCTATTTTTTTAAATTTAATTATTATGATTAATTAAGTTCGTTTTATAGAAAATATTATGTTTTGCATATTTTATATTAAATCAATTGATCAGAAACACCTCTAACTTAAAAACTCTTCTGTGATAATTTTTCATCTTATCAATAAGATTCTCAATTTTTACAAAATCATGTACTTTAAGTAAGAATCAAATCTTAAAATTAAAATGCACTTTGGTTATTTTATTAATTAATGAAAATGTTAAATAACCATTATGGCTCTTTTTAATATGATTAAATATTAATAGTTCAAATTTTAAAATAAATAATAAGCTTAGAATGGATATTACTTAGTCTATTTTAAAATTTTAATTTTATCATATATTCATTAATAAAGTCTACTTTTCTAGGATTATTTTCATTATGTCAAGATAAAAGCAAATAATACGCGAATAATGCAAATTATGGGTACAACTATAATTAAGATTAATCTCAAGTTCCACTATTTTTAGGGTTATTTTTTTTCATTTTCTATGCTACAATTATTATTTTTTTTTTAATTTCTAAAATGATTAGCAATTTATATAATTGAATTATATTGTTGTTAGTATGAAGGGATTGATGAGTTCATAACATTCTTCCATTGTGGAGTTGATTCAAAAAATTTTAATTTAGCTCGTTTTACAGCATCCTTTAGAGAATGAAAGTTTGATTTGTGTATAGAAAGCTTCATTTAGTCCTTGTCTTATTCCTCCATTGAATATTTATTAATATTATCATATTCTCTCTATCTTTTAAAAAATTCTGCTGTAATTTCAGCTGTTCGAGTAGATCTTTTTTTTTGCACGATGTTGGCTGATTTTTATTTTCTTTTTAGATTTTTTTCAGGATTTGAATTCATTTATAATTATTATTAAATTAGATTTAAAGTTTTTTTTTGCTAAAAATTATTTTAGATTTTATATAAGTAAAATGTTTTTAATTTAAAGAATATATTATGATTAAAATTATGATTTCACATAACCTAAATGAGAGTTGATGTCTAAATTATATCTAAACTCATTTCATATAGATCAATAAAAAAAAAAATTTTTGTTTAATTTTTTTAAAGTGAGATTAAAACTTTGATTTGATATTAATCTTAAGCTGGATGAATTAATGAGGGTCTTTTGCTTTTAATATCTTAAGAATACTGTTTTTAAAATATTTAAAATATAAGATATTAGAACCTTTAAAAGATTGTAATATAATTATCAGGTTTAAACATGTTATTCAATGGCTTTTAAACTAATATAAAATGACTACTCAATTGTAAATATTTAGCAATATTTTTAAGATTTATTTTTGTTTTTTGCAATAAAAACAAATGCAATCCTAGCTATTAATAGTAAAATCTCTTTCATTTTGTAAAAGTTTTCTAAAATATTTAGTCTTGAATGAATTTGCTATTTTATATTTTACAAAAAAGAAATGATTTCGATCATTAATATTTAATTAAATAATTCAATCTAATATATAAAATATTATATTTCTATAATTCACTCAGATAATATAAATAAAATAAATTACACAACTTTAAAAGCAATATTAAATTGTATAATTCATTTTTTCTTTTTTTTTTTTTAATCTTTTTCATTAAATTCCAAAGCTTGAATTTCAACAATTCCATTTCCAATTTTACTTTAATTATCCAATTTACAATCTCTTAATGATAATCTCCATCTAGTTATATCTTTAAGTCCTAAATTCTTTTCTTAATGAATATTGTAGCTTGTACATTCAGCATCAAAAATATTAGACCTAGGAGTTTTATTTGTTTTTTGACTCTATTTTAGCTTTTCCAAATTTGCTTCCCATACCTCCTAAACAATTTAACCAATATTTTTTTCTTTCTCATATTATTATCTCTTGATTTCTTATTCATCATTGCAATCGTCTTCTTAGCTCTTTTATTTGCAAAACTCCTACCAAGCCTCTTCTAATGCTTATGCCAACTAAGTATGAGCCAATATCCAAGTTGAAATTTCTTATTTTTTTTAATTCATTATTATTATTTCTATTTTTTATATAAATTAATAAGTACTAATGAATAAATCAATTATTTTTAATCAAAAATATCAACACTTTATGCTCAAAAATTAAGCATGGCAGATTTATTATATTTTTACTAAAATATTATTCTTTATTTTTTATTAGTCAAATAATAGAATTTGATTATTCATATTTTTTTTAATATATAAAATCTTATTATTATTATGAACTTATAACCATAAGTACCTTATGTGCACTCATAATTGTAAACCATTATATTTGATAGTTTAGCGGTTGATAATGTAGAGAAAAAGTTGTATAAGGAACCTGTAATAAATTATTTTAAATTAGGTTATAACTAAACATTGTAACCATCCAAGATCATGTTTTGAAAAGTAAGAAGCCATTGAAGAGATCATGTTAAAAAAATTTTATTAATGCCCAGCATAAGCATGTCAAAAAATTGCTAAAAACGTAGGTGATTTAATTTAAGATTGGAGATCTTAAGCATATCAGGAATTCAATTAATACATTAGTGAAGTTACAGTGATTAGGGGAATTATGGTTAACAAATACGTCAGAAATAAAACAAGATATCAGAACTTTTTTATGGAAGAAGTTTATGGAAAATAATTTTTAAATATGTTTGAAAGAATTAGTTAGGAAAACTCTATTAATTTTTTAATGAAAAATAACTTAAGCAGTGGTTAAGATTAGAATAGAAAAATTTAATTTTGGAGTTTCTGTTTGTAAGATAGAGTAAAAATTACTATTCCTGTTAGAATAATTGGATGTAAGCATTACGAATGCTATGAATTAACAAGTTTATTATTTTATTAGTAGTAAAACTATTAAAAAAAGCAATTCTTAGAATGCACTCAACCTGGATGTTCAAATAGACTAAAAATTGTCTCTAAAGATTTTACATCAACAGGCGAAACACAAAATTAAAATAATGTAAATTAAACTCAAAATAATGCTGCTTAAGTCGAAGGATAATCAATCTCTGCGGAGGATATTCAAACATTATTTTCTGGTATTTGTGTTGATTTTGATTTATTAAATGCAATAAAAAGAAGTCATCCAAGTTCATACAAATTTTATTATAATCAGACCACTGGATAAATTGAAGAGGATGTACAAAAAAATGAGAATGGCAAAATTATTGATCCATTAATAGCGAAATATTATTAAAGTAATAAAGAATTATAATAAAAATAATAATTCGATGATTTTTAAAATTCAATATTATAGTCTGCAATATCGGTAAGTTAGGGAGATCTGTTGATAGATGATAAATAATTAGGCACAAGAATAGCCTTATATAAATATAGAAATTATAAAGTAAAAATGGTAGATCTTTTAACAAATATGATAATTGAATACCCTGTAAGATGTAAATTCTGCACTGATTTAAGTGTTTGTATGGATATGAGAAGTTATATTGCAGATTTTACTTATTAAAAAAAGATATTCCCAAATAAAAATTATACTTGTCCTCTATGTAAAACACAATAAAAGTCAACATTGATTAAAACAACAATTTAATCCAACATATATCTTGATTCAAACATGCTTTCATATATGTTTAAAGATATGTCCTATACCTAAGGAACTTAAGTATTTGAATATAAAGGTTAGTAATATATGCTTTAAGAATTTATGGATAGATAAAAAATCAGAAGAGAAGACTATATAGNGTGTCAATCATCCAAAATTCTGTTTTGAAAAGAAAGAAGCCATTTAATAGATCATGTTAACTAAAGTTTATAAATGCCCATAATGTCAAAAAATTGCTAAAAATGAAAATGATTTAATTTAAGATTGGAGATCTTAAGCATATCAAGAATTCAATTAATACATTACTGAAGTCACAGTGATTAGAGGAATTATGATTAACAAATATGTCAGAAATAAAGCAAGATATCAGAACTTTTTTATGTAAGAAGTTTATTAGAATGAATTTAAAAGTATGTTTGATAGGATTAGTTAGGAAAACTCTATTAATTTTTTAATGAAAAACAACTTAAGCAGTGGTTAAGATTAGAATAGAAAAATTTAATTTTGGAGTTTCTGTTTGTAAGATAGAGTAAAAATTACTATTCCTGTTAGAATAATTGGATGTAAGCATTACGAATGCTATGAATTAACAAGTTTATTATTTTATTAGTAGTAAAACTATTAAAAAAAGCAATTCTTAGAATGCACTCAACCTGGATGTTCAAATAGATTAAAAATTGCTCATATAGATTACACTACAATAGACGAAACACAAAATTTAAATAATGGAAATTAAGCACAAAATAATGAGCCTTAAAAATTAATCTCTAAGGAGGATGTTCAAACATTATTTTCTGGTATTTGTGTTGATTTTGATTTATTAAATGCAATAAAAAGAAGTCATCCAAGTTCATACAAATTTTATTATAATCAGACCACTGGATAAATTGAAGAGGATGTACAAAAAAATGAGAATGGCAAAATTATTGATCCATTAATAGCGAAATATTATTAAAGTAATAAAGAATTATAATAAAAATAATAATTCGATGATTTTTAAAATTCAATATTATAGTCTGCAATATCGGTAAGTTAGGGAGATCTGTTGATAGATGATAAATAATTAGGCACAAGAATAGCCTTATATAAATATAGAAATTATAAAGTAAAAATGGTAGATCTTTTAACAAATATGATAATTGAATACCCTGTAAGATGTAAATTCTGCACTGATTTAAGTGTTTGTATGGATATGAGAAGTTATATTGCAGATTTTACTTATTAAAAAAAGATATTCCCAAATAAAAATTATACTTGTCCTCTATGTAAAACACAATAAAAGTCAACATTGATTAAAACAACAATTTAATCCAACATATATCTTGATTCAAACATGCTTTCATATATGTTTAAAGATATGTCCTATACCTAAGGAACTTAAGTATTTGAATATAAAGGTTAGTAATATATGCTTTAAGAATTTATGGATAGATAAAAAATCAGAAGAGAAGACTATATAGTAAACTTAAAAGAGGCTGTTGAATTTAAATAACTTTTTTGTATCCTAAATCCAAAATTAAGAATTAAAGAACCTTTAGTCCTTTCAAAATGTTCTTAAAAAAATATAGTTGATTTTTAATCATTTTATGATGAATTAAAGAAAATTGATTTTGATATTGAAAATATAGGATTAACTTTATGTAAATGTC